AACTTATTCAATAATAAATCATGATATATGTGAAAACTCTTCAAATGTCGAAATAATAGTCGGCCCGACTTAATATTCTAAGGTTTCAAACATCGATTTAGAAATATCTTAGAAATCTGAAACTTTTAAAATAAGTTTTAATTGTTTTACATTATATATAATCAAATTTTTAATAAATTAGGTTTATAAATAAGATAATGGAATATATCATTTTTTAAGACTTTTAGTGGTAGAAAGTAATTAAAAAAAGGGGTGGTCAGGAAATGAGGCGTCCGACTTATTATGTGTTCGATATCTCATTTGAAAGCGTGTGATTACGTAATGATTAAGGAGATGGATCTGTAGACTCAATCTACAGAAGCAAGAATTTTACTTGAGCGATCGATTCAATATCATTAACTACTTTACCCTTCTCGAATACATACATGCCAATCATTCCAATTATCAATCATATCCCAATGAAGTTATATCTCCATCCAGCACTTTGTACTAACAGATATATCGCACTGTTGTACCACAAGATTACTGATTCCATCGGGTACTACTTACTACAATCTCAAATTCTCAATACTATTCACGTCATATAAACGATTAAATTCTCGCTTATCTATTTCCCTTTTCTATTTCTCTGTATCGGGGTACCTACGCAGATATGATATGTACACTTTTCACACTCTCTGTCTTCCTTCTCGGATAGAAGAAGGACTTGGTAAGGATTTCTTTTCGATGTGCTGGATAGATAGATGAACAACTTGAGCCTTGTGTGGTGAAACTGAACAGGAGGAATGTTTATAATTGATATTACAGTACAATCGTTTCCCCATCCTCATCAATCAACATAAGAATAAGATTAAAGATATCAAAACCCCTTTTTATCTTTTATCTTCATACAGATAGACAGGTACAGATATCAAGTTATTCCTCATTCCTCACTACAATGAACGTAGAAAATTATATCTTCTAAGGGAAGAAACTTTATCCGAAAATTGAATTATCAGTCTCTCTCTCTACATCCTTATTCTCAGTACTCACAGCCCTAGTCCTCTCTCTCGGCACCCTTCTCAACGTACTGAGTCCACCATCCCCGATGAAAATAAACTCCCTGGTTCCACTTCCCTCTTCTTACCCATCTCAGCCTCCTAAATTCCTAACCCTCTCTCCTCAAGCCCAATCTCCTAAATTCCTAACCCACACCTCCCTAGGCTTCAGAAAATCTTCACTCACCAACTTCAACACACCGAGCAAATCCGCGTTCACATCCTCTCCGATGTTCACGGTCTACGCCTACATCATTACTGTCTGGTATCCACCATTGTTTATTGAGGTGTCCAAATTCATGCACGGCATGTAGTTCCTGACACTGGAGCGGGAGCGAGAGGAAGCTCCAAGCGTCCAATGTGGATTTTTGTCGTCTGAAGACGCGGGGGATTGGTTGGATTATCGTGTATCGTGTATCGTGTATGATCTTGAACAGGCGCAGATTCACTATTGGAATCATGTAGCGCGTGATTGGGTGATTACATAGTATGATGCGAAGGGTAGTGTCACGTGTAGAGGATGTTAATGAGTGCGCCGGGGACGAATTTAGCTGGGGAATTGTTAGGTTGTGGGAGAAATAGTGGGTTGATATGCTGTTGATCGATAGTAGGAGAAGTGGAATAGGGATGATCTCTCGAGTACTTAGATAGACACTCTTTGCCTTTGCGAGATTGCATGGTTTCGTCAGGTTTTTTTCTTCCTCTACGCGTGCATGACGGAAGACGGAAAGCGAGCCTAGAAATTCGCGAAACCAATCTCATCTAGGGATGAGAAGGAGAAGGACTAAAAGGAGTGAAATAGGTAGGAAGGGGGAACACTCTAGTGCATTTGTTTATCCCCGTACGAATGGGCATCCAAGTAATCATCCTACATGCATCAATAAAGTAATCGTAACTGTGGCTCAAAACTACCACACAGCAAAACTGATCACAACTTGGATATGATAAATTGTAGAGGAACACATCTTCCCCTGACATGTTACAACTCAGTTCTTTTCCATCCATAGTCCACCAATGATTTATCTTGTAAGATATATGTTTAGAAAGTATTCGCGTCTTGGATCGATGAAATCCAAGCCTTTTTAAAGTTCTTGAGTTTTGAAAAGAGAATGGGTAAGTAGATAGAAAAGGAAAGGTTTGAGTTCAGGTTGTAGAGTAAGTCTTGAGGGGCATGGTGAAGATATAATTTTCACAGATCCTCACCAACGCCAAATTGTAGATTCGAGGGAGTCTCGTTTGTAACAGGTTCTTCGGAGAATTTTTATATATTACGGTCAGCGGGTGGGGCAAATATCAAAAAGAGATGGTTTTCAATAGCTAGTCATGAGATGTGTGTTTAGCTACCGAGAAGTTGGAGACATTGAAAAGCTACTAAAAGAGATGATAGCCCACTCTCCTTCCCAAAATTCAAGATTGTTTTGGAAAATTTCGCAAGAAATTGAAGGTCATGGGACTCTCCTCAGAAACTTCAAGTAGCTTGCCCCATTAATATACATATAGAATCATCGGAAAAAGCAGGTGACGCCTTGATCACTGGATTTCGTTTACTTTAGCACATCAGATCGACTGCTGAAACATGACGGATTGTTTACTCTTCAATAAGTGCCCAAGAGATTTCATCACTGACTATCTAATTCTGTTCTCTGAGACTCCAAAGACGCCCATGATATGAAAACTTCCGTGAAATGCTCTCTTCACATTCCAATTTCTTAGTAAGATGTGAACACTATGCCGACTTTCGAGATAGCAGCTATATTGATCGTAGTATCGAGCCAATAGCATTCTGAGTTGATCAAAACTAAATTGTTCATTTTGTATATGACTCTCAGTCAAAGCTGAATTTGTCCAACTCGGAAGTTAAAAGTTGATGTAATCTGCTCAAGTCCTCTTTCAGAAGTCCTTAAATGCAGCGGAAAGGGTTCGTGAGATATCTTCTGGCGATCGTTGTCGAGATTTTTTAGCTGATTGCGAGGTCTTTGATGGGACAATCTGATGGGCTATGGTAAGATGAGTAGACATGTCACCGCCGGAGAGATTTGTACCACTGAATTGAGATGTTGAGATCGAAGGAGAACAGAAATGTAGTAGTCTGAAATTGTATCTTCGAATATCTGACGCGGCCCATTAATATCTGTAGAATCTTCAAAGTTGGACAGAACTATACCACTCATTTTGAAAGTCAGGACAAAAGGATTTCAGAGCGAAACCCTCGCTAGAATGATCAAAGACTCAATGCTTGCAGTTTGAACAGCCGGAGAGAAAGGATTTTAACGCAATTGCTGGGTCTTGAAAGTACTTGGAGTGTTGAATGCGATCTAGAACTTTCAGAGCCTTTGAAGTACTTAGACGTATCAGATCAGACTGCAGCCCAGACTGGTGAATGTCCTGATCATCATAAACGATATGTCAGATTATTTCCCCGAGCAAACCTCAGGTTTGGGCTGCTGAGCTGTTTTGACTGGGCAAAAGAAAAAAGAAAAAATTAGAATGATTAACTCGGACTGAGTAACAATCACTGAAGTTTTTGGATGATGAAGGGACTTAAGATGGGATAAATATACTCGGCGCTACTCAGGGCAGTAGGATCGTGCCAATCGCTGTCCAGACAGGAAAGGTTTCTTAGATCTCTTGTATATCAACGTCTTTATGTCTGCAAGTCTTGAATATTCTTTCTCTAGCTCACTCATATCAATCTTCCAAAGTATCTGAATCTTTCAAAATCAATCTAATATCCGAGAACACCGGATCGCAAAAGAGTGTTTGCCGTAAAGTCTAAGAACAGATTTCGTAGACACATCATCCAGATGGCATACTGCGATCTGAAGATTGATAATTTAGTAAAACTAGAACTAGCATAATATTTGAGCAAGTAATGATAAGTCCGAAAAGGATTTCACTCTGGAGAATGAAGTGTGATGGTTGTGATTAACTTGGATGAAGTGAAATGGAGCAAAGGTGATACTATCACGTGATGCGATTACTCTGATCCGTGCACGATTAGTCTTCCCCCTAACAATCCACTCTCTACATAGAAGAAAAAAGAGGCCAGGTTTGACCACTTCTAAATACTTATAACAATCCAATTCTTTTCTTCCAATTTGAAATAAAATATATATATTTATAAAGATCAATATAATTAAAAACGAAAATCAATTTGATATTATTAGATTTATTTATTTATATTTAGAGTTGATTTATAATTCGATTAATTAAAAAATTCTGATAAAGATTTAAATGGTCAATTGCGGCCTGTTTTTTCTCCTACGAATAGCCGCTCTTGCAACTTGCAAGTCACTTCATATGTTCGCGTTCAGATATACCTACAAAGCAACGACACCAAATATTACACCCAAGCATTACCCGCAATGAACTTCGACGATTTGTAATCGATGTCGAGCTTTAATTTATCACTTTCTTCCATAAACAGCCAGTATACCGCTTCTTGCATATCCGTTTGAACTTTGTACACGATCAACTTTCAAAAAAATGGCTTCATTCCCTAATCATTCCGTTTGATAAGCCGGGTGTGACCTACTGTAAGGGGTAAGCGATCTGCAACCCATCGGTACTCACTACACCGTGGAAAGATACAATCCGCCCACTGGCTGAATCCAACATAAGCTTTCCAATTTCCATGCACGGAAGAAAACCCCCATACCCACCCTTCAGGGCCTTCACACCGGCCATCGGGAGTGTGTCCTCATCCGGCAAAACCAAGGGTGATGAGTATCCCAGCCGATACATCACCTTCGCTTCTCCTTCCTATTACATCCGTGCCGATGGGAGACCCGCATACAATCTATTGTCTCCGAGATATATTATCTACACGGTACTTCTACAACGTGAAGAATCACCACGTTTTTTCTCAGTCATGTGTTTCTTCGTGTAGAATGTAGTAGACAATATATGGGAATGTATACCACGAGTGCTACATGCCAATCTTAGACGACCAATGGAAACGTGCCCAGAGATATTTTTCCGATTGGGGATTTATCAAGCGGGTGATTACTATGCATATGGAATCTGAATAGTCGTGAAGTTTAAATAGGGGGCGGCTGGGTCTGTATTCTTAATCGGTCTCATCAAATCATTCCAGGGGAGGGATACCGAAGATTAAATATGTAGTTATAAAGATCCTACATATCCTTTCCTGTTGGCTGTACAAGAATTTCTTACATTCGTCGATCATTCTCTTTCTTCTCAATTACAAGGAATATCCAAATATATTTCATCATGGTTGCCTTCTCGAGATCATTACAGCTTTCCTTTTCGGTTTTGGCATCTACAGTCGTTGCCATCCCTACACCATCACAGCTTGAATCTCGGGCCGTTATCAATTCCGATGCCGTTGTAGGATTTCCCGAAACCGTTCCTAGCGGGACAGTAGGAACAGTTTATGAGACATATCAACCATATCTTAAGATAGTCAATGGATGTGTACCATTCCCTGCAGTCGATGCATCGGGTAACACAGGGTATATCCTTACATTTTCATCCACATGATGTCTACTGAGTCTAACGTATTTTAGTGGTGGTTTGGCACCAACTGGCAGTAGCAACGGTGATTGCAGCAGTAGTACCGGACAAGTATACGTCCGAGGAGCACAAAGCGGATCATACTACGGTATCATGTACTCCTGGTAAGTTCTCACTCAACACCTCCTTACAGAACCAAACTAACACAATCCCAGGTACATGCCCAAAGACGAGCCTTCAACCGGTCTTGGTCACCGTCACGACTGGGAAGGAGTAATCGTCTGGCTCTCCAGCTCCACCGGCACAACCGCCGACAACATCGTCGCCGTGTGTCCTTCCGCCCACGGAGACTGGGATTGTTCCACCGATGAATTTTCCCTTTCTGGTACCAGTCCTCTCATCCAATACGAAAGTATCTGGCCGATCGATCATTCAATGGGTCTTACTAGTACTGTTGGGGGACAACAACCTATGATTGCGTGGGAATCGTTACCTACTGCTGCTCAAACTGCTCTTGAGACGACGGATTTTGGTTCGGCGAATGTTCCTTTCATTCCATCGGCTTTTGCAAATAATCTTGCGGCTGCTACTTTTTAGACTGGATGTCTTTACTTATGAATATTGGGGCTATTCTCTGGGAGTATTCTGGCTTTTACCCCTGTAATGTTTGATGTTTGGTATTTGATTAAGGCGTTGGGATGTACTCACGTCACTTCAGTTTAATGAAAAGTTTAATTTTTCACCCATGATTATTGTGTTGGTTTTGTGTGAGTATAGAGCTCAAGTTTGCAACTAACTCTTAGATTACTACAATGATTTGAAGATAGCGGCATGTGATGGAAAGAAATCCCAATTCCCAAATATACTTCCACCAAATGAATATACATGAAGCTTACACCACTCTTCAATAACCCCACTCGAAAACAACGATTGACATTCTCTGATATCCCAATTCAGATCTGAGAATCGAACAATTTTTCAAAGCTCAAGCTTACCCGTTTCATCTGGTACTGCTGAATCTAAACATTTTATCAAATGTTCAAATGTCTTCACCTATCACGTGAGTGGCCTCTTAACCCAGAAGCGCTGATGATAAAAATATCTCACATCTCTTGTATGTTCCACACCTGATTCCCTATCGTCGATTTGCCCACACAGGCATTAAGTCAACTTACGTCAATGATTATCAGCATTTTACAACATTCAAGATCCACTAGATCAACAGTTTCTACTCGACTGAAAAAGTCTCTCTATCCAAGCAGTACCTGTTGAAATGCCATTTTTCCGCTCCAGGAAACTCTGACTTCGTCCTCAATACCACTAACCACGGGAATTAATTTCTGCTCACTCAAAATACACCAGCATTCAAATTTTAACCACAATCACGATCCAAACACCCCGATTTGAACCCCATCCCAACGTCTCTCTACAACATTCAGAAGCATAGCATGTCACTCACCGGGACCCTTGAAATTCCACTCTATAGGTCCATCAACCTCTCGTCTTTATACAGTAAACCCACTCACCTCTGATGATACCAGTATACGTCTAGCTCGACGGATATAATATAACGTAACTTGACTAGAAGTGGGTTATGTCATGATATAAGTCACAAAAATCATATTTTCCTATTTGACCTTGTCCTACATACTACAGAATGATCTACAACTATCATTAATCCAATTGAACTATCACTATCCTCTTCCTCTTCCATCTTTCTTTCTACCTAATCAATTTAATATTTGAATGGTTTATTATATTATTGTTTTAATAAGAATATTTATTCAGCCTTCTCGATAATTTTCAATACTTCTTTAATACTAAATACAAATTCATCTTTTAATTTTATTTTATTTTTATTTTTTCATTTCTTCCATATTTTAAGTAATTTTTTATATTCTTGAAGTTCCTTTTGAAGAATAGCATTTTTAATATTTAAGCTTTCAATTTAATAAGTTATTTACTTTATATATCTTTGTACTAAAGAAGTAAGCAGATTATTAATGGATAAAGCTGAATTGAATACCTTATTTACTTATTGCAATTGGACCCATGGACCAGGCGATCGACAAGCTACCAACAATTAGCGGTGTCCGGACGATCGTTCGCCAAAAGCGCCTACGCGCAGAGACTGAGTGGTGGGAAGAGATGAATCCCTCTCTCTCTGCTAATTATAAAGAATGGTCTCCCAAGTACAACACAAAGGAGCCGAAGGAACTAACTCTGCCAAGAGCAGTCCTTCACCGACTACTAGCTATGAAAACAGGTCATGGCGACTACGCCGCTTACCATCAGCGATTTGGTCATCAAAACAACAAGCTGGACTGCTCATGCGGCAGCGCTAAGGAACCATATCACTTCTTTAAATGCACTATAAACAACCTAAAACGTTCAGACTGGCCCCTGGCCCCTGTAGAAATACAATCTAACAAACAGGCGATCACATATATCAAGAAACTCTTACACACACCTAGCAAGCTCACTCAGCTGATTACCGACTCAGAGTTCTACACTCAGATCTGTCCTAACTACTAAAGGACCCTTAGAAAGCGACCATCTTTTCAACAAAGCCCGCCGCCCCTTTTATAAACTTACCACTCAACTGATCACTCGAATATACCACACCCCTAAAAACCGCAAACCCAATATACAATATAAGAGCCTTGCCGCTCGGCTAAACAAATAGCAACCCACTCCCACTTCTTCTCCTTCACCATAGGGATCGGAGCCCACAACGAGCCTATCCACCCGGGAACCAAGCTCTACCCTAACAAGAACCCGGATCAGACGTACCCTTCTGGAAACAGAAGTGGATCGCACCTGCAGAGGAGCGAACAGCCCCTGGCATTGAAGTTAAATTGCTAAATTCGGTTGCGACGATCACGCCGCTCAAATAGTCCCTTATCTTAGCACGTCTAAATACCCTTAGGGAGGTTCAAGACAGACGTTAATTAATATAAATAAAAATAAAACAAATAAAAATTTACTTATTGCAGCTCAATATCATTTGGGGGAGAGTTATTAAGTAAAAAGAGATTTAGATTTTTTAAGTTTGCTGATGTATTTAGAATAAAAGGTGATAGTAAAAGCAAAGTTAAAAGATTATTTAGAACTTGATAAGAACTAAATAGATTCAAACCTGTTCCTTTCTATCCGCTTTTAATATTTTAATAAGTAAGATTCTTTTCTTTTATCTTTTAAAAAAGCTATACCCAATTAAACCATTATATTTATTATATTCTTGCTCGAAAATATCAATCAACCTTTTAAGCATAATATCACTTCATTGATTCATACACTCCAACATTCAATAGCTGAAGTAAATACAAGCAATGAGGTAATAGAATAAAAAGATCAATCTCCTTCTCAATACAAAAAGCAATCAAACTTCCTATAATATAACTAGAATGACCATCCATAATCAATAATCGAAACTGATCTCCTAATATTTTTCAAGATTCTAGCTCAAAAATCTTACATATTCATTCAAAGTTATGACTATTAGAAGTTCATTCACTATTACTTGTTAAGAAATATTAATTTGGAGAAGTATTAGTTGAAATCCATGCAGTATTAATATTCTAAGCCTTGAAAATGATTATAGGGAATAAAGAGCCTTTATCTACATTCACACATTTCAATACAATTATCCACTCTTGCTTTCCTATTATAATCTTCCAATTCGATTTGAAAGTAGAATCTATAATTATACATATTGATTTTGTTTCTCCAATTATATATCCTATCTTATCTATATTATATATATTCTTGAGTTTATAATATTGTTCTTCGATTTATACTTGAAATGTTGAAAACTATATTGAAATTGTTTCAAATGTAACTTCTTTATACCTTGCAGATTCCAATTTACAAGAATAAGTTCCTTTAAGTTTGGGATATTGATTTAAAAACCTATAGATCTATTGTTAACCTATATGATTTGATTAAAAGAATGAAGGGGTAAATAGTGATGCAAAAATGATACATTGATTTAGAATTTCTTAAACTATTTCTTTCAACAATTCAAAAGTTGTAGAATATTTAATAACTATTAATTATAAGATTTATTATATTAGAATCTTCTTTTCTATATTGAAAAGTTTTTGAAAGGATTTGTAAAATTAAGAGTGTAATTGTTGTTTAACTATTCAATTTATCAAAATTGACTTCGAAATCTTAAAATGAATAACAACACTTCGAATTGAAGTAAATTGTTTATTTTTTAGACTTTCTATAGCCTTTTGAATATTATCTTTCGATTCACTACGATTTAATGACTTTCGATCTATTGTATATTGAATAAACATATAAAATAAAGAAATGAGAGCGTAATTTTGACCCATATCATGACATGACCCACTTCTAGTCAAGTTACATTATAAATAAATGAAACGAGAAGAGAGACTGAGTGAAAAATCACGAAAGAATAACACATACATCTAAGGAGAAACATTGATAAAAGAGCGCTAAGAGAGGAGAGCTGAGTGGAGAAATCAAAAGAGAAGAAGGAGAATTGCAAGAGAAATACTTAATTGTAAATAGGACACAGTAAATGCAAACTGATACAAAAACCCCGAGAAGAAGGGTAAGAAATGCAATGCTAGATACCTGTTTGTGCGAGACTCTAATATTCCGTTGCCTTATTCCATTGATTTGACAACAATAATTCACATGCATACATTCATCAAGTTCGACAAGTGAAATTCACCGACCGCAATAACAAAAAGAGAAATCTTTACCGCCAGTTTTCAATTAGTTGTTAGCGAATGGTATCCAAACCGGCGACATCATTAAATTCCCTAAATTCATCCAATCAGTCAATGCCAGAAAAGAAAACAAACCATCATTCACAAATCACCATTCACAACTAATGAAAAAAGCCGTATGCACACCATTAATATTATACACCGTTGGCTTGTCATTTCTTAGTCACCACCATTCCGGTGATAAGCAGCGGTTACACTATCAAGCGCGGTTGCAACACACACCACATATGCTCACCACATGCTTTCCAATTATTCCTCGATCGTACTTATTATTGCCAGTCTAGTGACCGCAATCGCAGCCGCACATCACAAACCCTGCAAATCTCGAGCCTCTATCTGCAGTCTGACACATGGGATGATTGATTATCGGAGACGCGTACAATGAAATGAGTGTGCAGTTGTGGTTGATCATGATGACGGATCGTGATCGAAAGAGGAAAGAATGAACAGACTATTGGTTGACTTGGTGAGACTCGCCGTGGATGTAAACGGCTATTTCTGGGATCGCGCACTGCGCTTCCGTGTTTTGATTGGCCTTACTAAGATCCATATAACAGATCAATGTACACGATTATATGCGACGTTCAACCACTAGGGCTACCACAATTATTCAGGTCATTCGTGTATAGTGGATGTAAACGTACAGTCCAGATCAAATGATCCTGTGTAGGTGATTCGAATCAAATGATTGTCCGAATTGTCTGGTAGATTCAGAACTTCAGCAATTTCATCGAATCCTCTTGGAAACGAACCTGCTTCTTGGCAGAATTCAGTACCGTTGGAGTTTTCTTGATTTTTATATCTTCGACTACCTGTACGCCATGCACAGACCTCATGTGTGTACTCAAAATATTATCATCTGGATATAAAAGTCCACAAGCATTACACTTCAAATCAGTTGTATGAAAAGAGGTCAGATGGCGATAAAGATAGTCCCGAAGAGCATACTTTTTGGTGCAAATCGAACATCCGAATGGCTCTCCTTCTGTTTTATGTACAACTCTCTTATGTCGCTCCAGATTCTTCTTCATGGCAAATTCTTGATGACAATCTGAACAAGTACATTTATCAGACGGTTCTCCTCCAGCACCTGTTTTGTTAGCGAAATCAGAAAGAGGTTGCAAAGCTTCGATGGGCTTGGTTTTGGGTCGTTCGGAGGTGCTTGGAGAGTTTGCCGACATCGACTTGAATAGTGGAGTTGTGTCTTTGTTTTCGCTCAATGGAGTATCCTTCCTTGAATGCTTAGGAATGACATACTATATCTACTAGTATATACAACTGCCTTCCATCTGAAGATCCACTTACATATGGTTTTGATTTCTTCTGTGATTGAGAGACAACCGAAGCATCTACAGATTCATCCCGTTTGCGCTTTTCGCTAACAGCTGAGCTATGTGGAGAGATAGAGGTTTGAGGGACTGATGGCAGTTTTCCGGTAGACTTCACAACAGCAAGTACAGCTGGTGGTGATTTTGGGTCATCTTTGGCAGACTTCGCGATAAGTGGCCTCTGTTCCTCTTTCTGATTGTTATTGTTTAACGCAACTGGCAACAACGGATTTTCTAAGACTTTCTTGGTTGGTGAAGTCTTTTGTGAGGATTGCTCGCTCTTCGAGTTTGAGTTTCTGCGAAGTATTGGATATGGATTGTCGTTGATACCTTCATCGATAGTATCCGCAAGGAAAGATTCAACCACTGCCCTAGCATCGGGATACTCGACGCATAAACGCAAAAGTATCTTACCGAGCTGGTCTCCACTAGACGATGTGATGGCGTCTGCTAGGGGGCGAAAGAATCGTCGCTTGTCGGGTTCGATTGATATAAGTATGATGGATGATTGTGAAATCTCGTCCTTCCTCAGAGGTTTTGGATTGGTCGACGATCGACTTTGAGGTTCACAATTGAATCCAAATGGCTTTTGAGGCGAGGCTGTATTGGTTGAGGTCTCATTGTCTGAATCAAACTTGGTATCTGATTCAAATTCGCCATCATGCCCGTCCTTGGTTGTGATATATTTTGCGTCCCAAGCCGGCGGTACCAGAGGTCTAGCTGCTTCCAGAGCTTTGAGTTTTTCAGCCTTCTTCTGTTGTAAAAGAAATTTAATATCAAGGTCAGCCATTGTGGCTCAATAAAGATCCTGAATCTCCACCCGATGTGATAAGTCAAAAGATCGACAACAAAATGTGATGGATCAAAGAACAAATCCGAAGTCGAAGGATGATTTGTACGTGAGTTAAGGCCTTACGGAGAAGAACCAGGGACGACAAATGGACGATTTGTAGATATTCTGAGGGGTTTACACTCAATCAAATCTTGGAATGAATTAAACAAACGAGCGATTCGAAGAAGAAGATGAACGGGATAAAACTTTTGAACCAAATTCAATTGAATTCAATGAATGAAGACTGATAGAATATGGGGAATTGCGATACCTAGTAAGGGGAAAAGAAAACCAACACGTTGGTTGCCTCTCTTGTCATCTTGAAACCTTATCTCTCTCATGCAGGTGAGGTGGGATTGTTGTCGCGGTCGCGAAGTGAAAGAAAGAAAAAAAAAAGAAAAGAAACGCGATCTCAACTGCCAAATTCTAAATGAAGTATCCCTGAAAACACGAGGTCACGAGATCACGAAATCTTCGGTCGGATAATAATCGGCTCCGAATGAAGGTGGTCGCTGTTAAGAATGGAGTTGGTAGTTCCTTCAATTTTGTTCTCTGGAATTTGAAAACTAATTAACCCGTTCTATTGTTCAAGATAGATTCGGATATTCAAATGTCTTTTGAGGTTTATTCAAATTCCATACACTCAGAACATGACTTAGCGGTCATGTTGAAATGTCACTTCCACTGATACTTTGGACTTTTTCATCCGTTCATGTCGAGAATGTCTTTTATTACATTGGATGCCACAATCTGCATACAAACTTCGATCCTAAAATATATTCTCGATGCAATCATGGGCTGAAAGCTGTTTTGCGAGCAAAGAAATCTTATCTTTCTGCCCTTGCATGTATTCAGATGTTCCAAGTATTATTTTATTGGTGGCGCGATGGAGAAAAAACAAATCCTCTGATCAAATCGTTCTTTTGAGACCTGCCTATAGGCTTTTCTGTATGTCTTACTATCAACTCCTGTGTTCCCTTCCCCAAAAGTCCGCATCACTCTATTCTTGTTTGCGCCATCTCTCCATGGTTGATAGTTTTCAGCCATATCCTCGAAGCTGGTCTGAGTCAACTTCATCTACCTTTATCTTTTCTAAGAGACATATGGATTTCTCCTCACCCCTTGGTGGCTTCAAGAATTTGCTTGAGCTTTCAATTATTTAGTATTTCAATACTCTCTGCCTTGCTCCATTTCTCACTTCTCCTTCATTCTCATCATTCATTGTCCTTCTTTTTGCATTTAAACCCTCCATTTTTCTGGAGGTTCGTCAACACCATCCTTTAAGCATCAATCGTTTTGCTCAAAGTAATCATGGCACCACGTTCGTTAAGAGATTTGTTATTCTTTGCGGCCACCTTTGGTGTTGCAAGTGCAAGCATCAAATTAGAGGGTCGTAATCCTCAACACTTGGATCTTGCACCACGTCAGGCAAATTGTCCACCTCCAGTGACAGTCACTGTTTATCCAAGCTTTTGCTCAGCTGCGCCATCTTCTACTGTTGCAACCTCTTCGGGTCTCCCTACATCCAGTGCGGGACCTGAATCGATAACCACTACGGCACCAATCGTCTCTAGCCAATCGACTTCGAATCCTGCTGCGACTAGTAGTGCCTTGGAGCCAACTTCTTCTGGTAGTAACCTTCCAGAGTCGACGTTGATTTCCGGGAGTTCAGGAAGTCCCTCTTCATCAATTGGTCCTATCTCATCTCAGGGAAGTGTATTTCCAACTCCTTCGAGCTCCGCGGTTGCATCAAGTCTCTCATCGATCCTTCCTTCTTCGGTACTTCCCACTTTCAGTATTTCCGAATCACAATTATCTTCAGTATATATTTCGGTTACCAGTACTTTATCCTCCGAAGCTGTTCCTTCCAGCAGTAATGTTCTCTCCACCGTCCCAGGATCCTCCTCCGTAGCTGCTAGCGCGTCAGATTCTGTTAGTGGTAGCTTGTCAACCGTGATCAACTCGAATACCCCTACCTCCTCCGGAGTCGCAGCTACTTCATCAAATATTCTCTCCTCAGTTGTGGCTACTTCTTCTGATTTACCAGTCCAATCTTCAGCCGCATTATCGACGGAAATCACTGTGGGTACTTCCACTGTTCTCGAGACATCTTCGTCCTCTAGTAGCACCATTATTTCAATTGAGTCATCTTCATCTGTAGCTGCTAGCACTTCCGTGCAAATGACTTCCAGCTCAGCCGTTCTTTCGCAAAGCTCAGCTATCGAAACCGGTGTATCAAGTCTTTCATCTGAAGTTTCCATTTCTTCAATTTCGTTATCGTCTTCGCTTTCTTCTGAGTCGGCATCAACTTCTGGAAGTTCATTGATTTCCGCATCTGCGACGGACTCGGCATCCGCTTCCAGTAGCTTAACTTTATCCGAATCGGTATCTACTTCGGGTACATCGATAACATCTGGGTCCACATCGGCGTCTGCAACTTCCGCTGTAGAATCCGGCAGTGTTTCCAGTTTGTCTTCTGGAATTGCTAGCTCATTCATCAGTCAAGAATCCAGCTCAGGTGTTCTCACCGTCTCGAGTTCAACCGTATCGGAATCGGTATCTGGATCTGCTAGTGCAACTATATCCGAAGAATCTTCATCAATATCTTCGACCGCTAGCTCGGTTTTTGAAAGTGGTACTTCATCAGTCTCATCTTATACCGCTATAAGCTCCACAATCACAGGATCTGTATCTTCGATTGAATCCAGCTCACAGCCAACAGTAACTTTGAGTTCACTTTCAGTAACTTCCGTTTCGAGCTCCGAGTCTACTTTAGGACCCAGTAGTTCGATAATTTCGTTTCTACCATCTTCTACCATTGCTGTATCCAGCGGAGCTGCTTCCTCGTCTGCTGCAATTAGCTCGAGTGCCGTTATATCCTCGACCCCCGCAGCTAGCTCCAGTGCTACCACTACCGGAACGTCAATTACTGGACCAACTCAGGTTCCATCCATTGATACTGCTGCTGGTGTTTACGAGGAAATAGGTTGCTTCTTGGATTCTACCTTCGATGGTTTCCCGTTGACTCCACCTCCCATGCCTGTCAATAACAACAGCTCTCCGACTGTTACTGACACACCCGCTAGCTGTGCATTGTTCTGTTCCACCGCGAACAATGGTGGTCCATTCACATACATGGGAATTGAACCAGAACATTGTTACTGTTCAAATGGATTCAATCTCGGCCAACCAGAAGGTATATGCAACTTTCCATGTCCAGGTGATCCATCGCAATCTTGTGGAGGAAATTCGGCAGCCAAAAGATTCTCGCGACGTAACGGTCCACCTTCAATCGTCGCTTACCAACTTATTCCTGCTGCTGTATCATCTTCTACTATTAGCTCATCGCCAGCTACTTCCTCATCTGTTCAATCTTCCGGAAGTGGCATATCTTCTGCTGCCTCTAGCACAATTCCTGGATCCGCATCAGCTAGTCTCACCTCTTCGGCTGCTTCTTCTTCGATTGCCTCGAGTCAAGTATCTTCTTTAACCTCCGAAGTATCCGAAATTGCCTCCTCGACTGTTCCAAGCCAATCTGCTTCGGCATCTGCTAGTACAAGCTCCTCTGGAGTTTTATCTAGTACTTTACAGTCCTCTTCTTTGGCATCTCAACCCGCAACAGTTAGCTCCAGTATTCTTCTGTCCTCAGAAGTTCCTGCAACGACTTCAAATGTCGGATCCTCAAGTGCCGTATCTTCGAATGTCGCATCTTCGATTATAGCATCCTCCAGCGGTATAGTTTCATCAAGTGGAGCTGTTAGCACTTCTGCAATTTCTGAAACTTCTTCAAGCATTTTAACCGGTTCATCCGCCGTTTCTTCGGTAATTTTATCCAGTCAAAGTACTATTGAGCCAACGACTTCATCTGCTTCTTCCACTGCCATCCAAACCACTTCTATCTTCAGTTCTGCTGAGTCGAGTACTACTCAACCTTCAATATCTTCCAGTGGTGTACCAACCAATGTTGAGCCATCGATCTCATCCAGCGCTATATCAACTTCTGAAACAGCTCTCACCAGTGTTGTACCAACCAGTAGTGTAGAATCTTCAATCTCATCCAGTGAAATCATTAGCACTTCAGCACTACCTTCCAGCAATGTTGAACAATCCACTAGCCAAGCTACGACTGCCCCCTCGAGCACGAGTGAGCAATCATCAATCACTTCTTCTGTACTTCCAGAATCTAGCACTATTTCCAGTAGTGCTCAGTCAGCCACCTCTTTGGCTTCTACGACTTCCGAATTCTCTTCGACAATTGCTTCAGAATCCAGCACTATTCCAAATTCTGTGCTCCCCACCACTTCAGCCGCTTCCACCAGCGAAATCCAGAGTTCATCCACCACCTCTGATCTCCCCAGCAGTACATTATTCTCCTCCTCAGCTGAATCCTCCTCGATTCTACCGATTTCCTCTGCTGCCCCATCTTCATTCTCTACCCGTATCTCCTCAAGTTCGAGTTCGAGCACCACTTCCACTTGTCCAGCGGCAACAATCACAAATGGTGGATTTGAATCTGGATCTTTGTCTCCATGGGCACCTAGAAGTGATGGTATTGCCAACGCCAAGAGTAACGTTGTTATCAACAACCCTGCCGTTGCTCATACTGGTAACTCTTACCTGTAAGTTTTCCCTTCCTTTTTTCCTGTTCTCATTCATCCCTTTCAAAAAATCCCAAACTGACACCCACTTCCTAGCCAAATAACCATGACTCAAGACTTCTTGTCTCTCATCCAACAAACCACTACCATCTGTCCCACCACCAAATCCCTCACTGTCACAGCCTGGGGTCAAGCTGCCAAGTCACGCGACTGCTGGCTTCAAATCTGTGTTAACAAAGATAGTTATTGTTCCGTTCCCACCCCTCTCAAGAAGGGTAAATGGAAGAAGAATAAACTCGTTTACAAACCAAAGAAGAACTTGGTTGGCAAGACAGATGCCAAGGTACAGATTTATACCGAGTGTAGAGGAGAGAGCGATGGTATGGTATTGGTTGATGATGTGGTTATCACCAAGACGAAGTTGAACGCCAGAGAAATGGCGCCCCAATTGGCGCCAAGAATGGGGACTTTGAAGATGATCGATGCTTAGAATGTTATTTTTCATTCGTTGAGAGGGAATACATTTGAAATCTGGGTGTGTACGCTAGTGTTGTTGGCGAAGGGAGAGCGAGATAATGTGGGGAAAAGGGGAGGATTAGATGCGATTTTTTCTTTTGTTCTACTAAGTTTTTTAGATTTTGATTTCGAGTTGAAGTTCATTTCTTAGGGGGGTCTAGGGTTAAGATAAGATAAGGATATGAGAAACAATGTATGAGGGAAATATAACGATGGATTTGACGGATGTTTTCCTTGATTAACTTTACGTGTTAGTTATGTATGAGGTTAGACAATGTTATATCTATAGAGGTACCTTAATTTGATATGGTATTAGCTCCTGATTTTCACGATTGTTGGTTGTTGATTAGATATCTCTTACTTGATTATGGTGAACCCGTGGGGCTTGTGTTTGTGCAATGGAGTATGATGCGGAGAATACCCCGCACTTTAGGTTATACCGCCTTGAGTTCGTGGTGGCAGAATTAAGCACGGTGGCTAAAGGTTAATCAGATGCAAGGGGCTCGCTCGGGTGTCAGTGTCACATCACGTCATTGGTCAATGCGCTCGCGTCTTGTTATTCAATCAATGTTTTTCATTGAACTTTTTTTTTGTCAGCCCGTTATATTTTTAATCCATTAATCGCAAGCCCACTCATCAACCAACCCACTATTGTTCCTGCCTTGTGTCGTTATATCGTTATATCGTTATATCGTTCCTTTTTTTTAGTCCTTTCCTTTTCGTTGCTGTTTCCGTTTTCGAACTCCAGGCTCCATGCATGATATTCCATCTCTTTTCTCGCACATGGTACACTTGATTCGTGTATATATATATGTACCGATCGAACGACATAGCAAGTGCTACTCCTAGTATAAGTATTAAAGCTACTGCCCCCCACAATTCCCATAGAAACCCGCATCGAAGACTCGAATGTTGTCTCTTGCCGCGGCGGTATAGTACTGGGTGACTATTGCTTGATCACCACTGTACGCGAGGGTAGAAGATGCGTAGGTGGTAGAGTGATGGGTGTTATTGGTGTAGTCTTGGGTGCGGTTGGTTGAGAGGGTGGATTGTTCGGTGGGGGATGTTTGGGTTGGGGTTGTGGATGGGGAAGAGGAGTTGGGACTGTGTTGGGGGTGGATTATTAGTGTGTGTTGTTGGGGGAGGTATGGTAAGGGAATGCGAGATGGGAGATGGGAGAATGGGAGATGAGAGATGGGCTGTGGATGTGTGAAGTGATTTTTGATTCGGAAAGATGTTGAAGGAGAAAAGGTAAAGGTGTGTATGCCAAGAGGGGATGGGATACATGAGCCATGCAAGATGATGAGAGCCTCTGGGTGGAAATGATATAGATGGAAAAACAGTTGTGTATGGATTGGACAGATACAAAAAGGGTAGAGGCCAGATGGAGGAAAGAGGATGGGAGAGGACGAGAGTCGGGTGTACTAAGTAGTAGTGAAAGGTCCCGGGAAAAGATGGAAGCAGAGGACGAAGTGGCAGATAGGGAGACACGAATGTGTGAGAGAATAGCAATATTAGAGCATGGAAGAGCGAAGCGTAAAAGCACAGTATGGAGTACGAGAGATGTAGTACAAGAGCGCAGCGAGAAGTGGCATCGAAGACGAGAAATGATATGAGAGAATTGAATTTGTGAATTTTTCGAAAAAAGATAACTCATGAAAGTCGGAAAAGAAAAGAGAAAGGGAATTCACTCACTCGAAAGTGTCTGAGCCTTGTACAGCAGTGTTGGAAGTTTGGCTAGCCATGATGATGGTGCTACACGGGATATTCACGTGATACTGGATAGGGATTGGTATTCTTGAGGTGAATATGGATATTGTAGGAGGTAATTGAGATTGAGGAGATGAGTTTAGAAAGGATGTCATTGCGACGAGACATATGGGTTTATATAATTAGCTAGCTATCAGGCCAAGACTTACCTGTGTTTGGAAAGATTAGAGTTTGAATGTAATGAATTAGCATAGTGGGGCATGGAATCAAGAACTGACTAAAACTGCAGTCATGCCAATTGACTCCTCCAGCTGGGGTTGAAGAGCAAGGCTGTCTTCATGTAAGCGAAATAAGAGGCGGGAATTGATTCCTCTTTCAAAGAACTGCTTAGTTGGATTATAAATTCATCTCAAATCCAATATTAAATGCTGAAAAGACCAAGCGAAAATTTGAGCCTTTTTTATATAAATAGTAAGAATTATATGTATTTCATACAATATTGAAGAGAGATTCGAATTATCAAAGTCCTTTTGAATGGTGTTCAACTTCCACCTTTTATTTCGCTTATGTAGAGGCTGTTAAGATATTGGTTGAAATTATATTACCCGAGTTGTCAAAGCGGTATGCTCATTACCTACTTAGCATTGACGAGATGGAGTAGAAAAAGATCAAAATGGTTTTATCCGCGTCATTAAAGCGGCAAGCTCGCTACATAGTGAGTATTCTATAAGATAGAGTGTTTATTGAGGCCCGCCTCCCAAAACCAATCAAAAACCGCATATCAAGAAATCTGGTTAGAATTGCAAAATTCTTTTTAATCAGATCGTTCACGTTGGCTAGGTCCTCGGTATAAACTCTTATATTCCAATTGGGTGAGAGTTGCCCGCACCAATTTATCTGTCGAGAAGTGACTGTCACCTCATGAGTAAATGTTACGGACTCTTTAAGCAGCGTGACATAAATCCAACAACAGAATCCTGGTTCAGACCATTTTGAGGTTTTCTATGCCGGCTTACACCATATTTTCTCATCTCTTTACGCCAATTTCGCGGGCGGAGTGCCTCGCATATGCACTGTGCAGGCAATAAACAAATTGAACCTGTTAAAATGATATTAGACATGAGATAGGAGTCGTTTACTTTTCAGGAATTTTCGATGATCCTCAACTGTCGTCCATCCTTATGCATCATCAGCATGGACACGATGTTTCATTACCATTTTCAACATCGAGATTGACGCACAGGGATACAAATCCTCCACGGTATTGAAGCTGTTAAAATTTGTTTTTTCGAGACTTTTACCCAATTTCACTGCAGTTTCGGTGACCTTTTTTTGCTTTATTCGAATGTAGAAAGTCACACACAGATCACAGAAATTATTTTTTCGCGCAATTTGAACATACAGTCGTAACAAAAATTGGCCGTCTGATTCTAGATTCGCAACCATGGTTCTTTTAATTTACGAAACGTTCAATTGTACGAGACAATGTCGACTGGTAAGGCTGAGGATATGTTGTTGTCGCAATTGTGAATCTTTCCGGCTATGAGCTACCCATGCCTGTCATTCTAAGTCACCCAAAGCCACCATACATAACGCCAGATGTTGTGGCCGAGATCACATGTAGCGCGGCCAATCATTTGTTCTTTCGACGACTTTAGGCTCAATGAGGCGTTTCTTCATCATGCTAATTAACTTCTGCCAAGCATCGGTTCCTGGAATTCGAGAAGCTCTCCAAGACTTGTCCAAGGCTTGAGCTGGGGTTTTCTGGTTCTTAGGAGCTTAGTAAAATCGCAATGAAGATTGTTGATATTCACATAATTCCACCTAATCAACGCCATTTCATCACTTGGATGTTTTTGAACCATGCATGGACACCAAATCGCTATTCAAATTAATTGAGAGAAGGTTTGTAAAGACGTAGTGAAATCTCTAGATATCCTTTAGTTCTTTTACGGAAGACTTACAAGAAATGATGGCGGCACCGCTACTGTCGATCAATTGATCTTACCAGGCTACCAAATAAGTATCACTGTCACCAAATAATTATCACTGTCAGATGGTAATTATTAGTACCTAAGTAGGCATGGGTTGTGGGATCTGCTGATAAGGATAAATGTATTGCCGGCATCCGAGGGGCCCCTGATTGTCGGGCAACATGCGCAGCTCCCGTGGTTCGGGTGTTGCGGTCTTTAGACAATTACTCGTGTATAGAAATAAGGTTTATATAACGTGCATGCTTGCATTCAATATTATAATAAGCGTATGTAGTACACACATAGATACCTAGGTAGTATCGTATCCAGACTTTATGGTAGTATTGACTCGTGTGGAGGGAGGCAAGGATGTCTATTGAATATCTGGTGCAGCTGAGTAACAGAAAGTTTTTTTACTGCTTTTCATACACATTTTACAAATTGGATTATTTCAGTTGTGGTGATGTCATTGGAGAGCTAAGCTATCGGGTTTATTCTCTCTCTTGATAGGTCGGCTCAAGTTTTGCACATAAGCAAATGTGTATTATATGCCAATAGACGCAGCTGTCCCGGATGGAATTCGGCTGCTTCGTCTGTGAATTCAGGACAAAAATTGAATTTCGCAATGGAAACAAGCTTTGGCCACTGAGGCTTAATTGAGGTTTCAAGTGAGGTTACACCTCTCCAAACCACGCGTGGTTGTTTACGCAAGATTCTACAAGGAGGGAAGCTGAGATAGGTTCCGAAATTCCCTTGCCTTTGAAGCTATGTTTTGGCGCCGATGAGTACTGTATTGCAAGTACCTCGTGGGTTTTAGGAATACTCTATGCATCAAATCTCTAATGCAGTGGAATTTTCAGGCTCTGGAGGGGAAAGAAGAGTTTCTGACGCTTATTCTGAGCTTTTCATGATCGATCATGTATAAAAAGCAATCTTTTTTATCTTTTGTTTCGAAAGTCCACACAGGTGTTCACCTGGAATTTATTTCAAGAGTAGATATAAGATGAAAGGACTAGTGAAGAGAGAGTAGTCAGAAGGCGAAGGAAATTGTTAATCAACAATACGCTTTCTTTGCCTATACGAAAACCATTACTGTCTGTTTCTTTGAGTGGCCTCTTTATATACATGCTAAGTAGCCATCACTATTCAAGCACCACACATATCCAAGAAAGTCCTATGTTTACTCCTCATATTATTTCACTCGGCTTGGAACAATGTGTGCGAGATGTTTGTGAAGGGGTTGTGAAATGTCGATCATAATTAAGAACTAGTCTATATCCAATCAAAATACCAAGAATATTTTGTTGCTGACTTTCATCAGGCCCACTTGTTCTTGAACTGATCCAACTTATTCCACTGCATCTTTCCTATATTCAATGTTGCTTTCGCTTTTTCTCAAGTGCCAACACAATGAAACATCCAATTTTGTCTTGCGTAGAATGACCCAGGTATCATATCGACATCCTCTATTCACTATCTTCATTATGATAGTTGTGGTAAAAGGCTGCATCGAAGTCTTGCAACTTGTTCTTCATCTTGAACACAGCAACGGCAACGGTTTTTCCTCCAGTAACATGTTGTTGATTGATTGATGCATGAGGTACAGGCAAGTCGGAGTCTGTGAGGTAGTAATTGATGCGGTTTGCGGAGAGGCAAGTGGCTTCGAAACAGGTAGTGTTGGATGTGACGTTGAGACTAAGAAGAAGGCTTTATTAGATGAGGCAACAATAAGGGTGTAAGAGAGATTGAGTGGGAGGAAATGCAATAGAGTTTGAACGTTTGTGGCAGATAGTAGGAGAATACGAGTGAGTATTCATTCAGCCAAATTCTAACAACAAGGAATTCCTTGAGATTATTTCGGGGATGGATTCCAACACGACAAGGACATGAACTCACTCGGATGCCACGAATCCTCGTACGGCTGCAGTAGAGCTCTCAGTGGGGTTTGACATGATGATCTTGTAAAGTATGTGGAAGTGGTTTTTGTAGCTTTATATATTGCACGTGATATCTGGATACAATTATTGAAATACTAGGAGATGGACGGAGAATAGAACATGATTTCATAAGGGAAAAAGACTTTTTTTATGTGCAATTCTACTTCGGTGAGACGGGTTGTCTGGAATTTCCCAGGAATTGACATTTACCTTTCTGACTATGATCACAATGTTATGTTGCGTTGATAAAACAAAAAGATTCACGAAAGATCGGATGTGCAGGTGGGAAAGGTTCTAGTAATACGGCTCTGTACCACCATAAATTTCATGCATGAACGTTGCAATCTTAGTTTTGCCCCAAAGCGTCATTGGAACAAGTGGGGCGCCACAGATTTGGTAGGGTACTACCAATCATATAGCAACCATCAGATCTACTGCTTGCGTGATCCAATCTCTAGAAGATATTTACATTGATTCAACTCTTGAGAAACAGGCGAATGAAAATCTCCTATCGCACAGCTTGTAATTGTGATCTGCCGTTTTTTTCCTCACTAGCGTAACTTATCATGCCGCTACAAATTTCTATCCGAATTTCGAACTTTAAGATGGTTGGACGATATACTGGCGCAGTAGAGAAACGACGTTTATTTTCGACATAACCGTGATCAATCGCCTCCAACAGACATGCAAGAATTAAATCCGATATACACAGAACTATCCAGCTCCGATAGAAATGAAATTCGAGATGAGCTAAATCGAGTAGTTCGGTGTTCAAGAGTACATAAAACTATATGTTATCACTCGTCTCACGATATAAGCAAGCGAATTCAATAATACTGGGATAAACATGTAAAGTTGGCTTGTGTGTTTATGTCCAAAAGATCGAGCTTCATATTCCCTGCCGGAAGTTAAGCATCATCACTTTATCCTTCGCTTGCATTTATGTGTGAGTGTATCTTCAACAATGAGGTATTCACGTGATCCAGCCCCGCTTTTAATGCCTGTGGCTGCAGCTGCAGCTTACATACCCGATTGCGTAAGGATGCCACGTTAGCTATTATGATTTTCTGGCTTACCTTGATATGGCTATCACTATTTCATAATTGCTATACGATACTGAGCGAGTCAGCATTATGGGGATAGTTCAAGAGTACACGTCCCACAAAAGGCTAAGCGAGTTTTTAAAGGGGAAGCTTCGCATTATTTCCTGACAAGATATTTTCCACTCAAAAGCAAACAACTGAACAAATTTATACCCCTCCACACTCCATGAAATGTTTCTGAATGCTGACATAATAGCACTAGGCTTTTAGAGAATCGACAAGTGATCTCCTTACTCCGTCCGAGCCCAACCATAAATTTTTGATTCAATTGCCCTTCTCCGGATGCTATCTCTAGGCTGATGCATCGTACAAGCTACGAATTCAAGAGTCACTATTGCTCCGATCATTAGAATTATTGTTACCCCCCACTGTTATTACCATCAAAAGCCTTATCGAATTCCTCCAGCATAGCACCCATTCTATATCCGGCGGCTGCCACTCTGTTGAACTGTTTATGAACACTAGCTTGAGGATTCTTGACAATTGTTGCGTATGGTACAGAGGCATACGGGCCTTGGAGGTAGCTACGAATGCGAGAGGCCGCGATTCTTTTGGATTTCGCGGACTTGGCAGAGGAAGGTCGGAGAGATGAGATATTCTTTAGGCTAGACATGAGAGGCCACTGTTAGTATACTTCAAAGCGAATTAAGATAAGTAGAATAAGGGTCTATCAGATATAGTATTGAGCGCAGGTGATAAGATTGAACAAGAAACGACACGAGAAGGTGACTCTGAGAAGTTGATCTTGGAAGGAAAGAGGTAAGTGTACAGCCATGATTAAATCGAGGAAAGCACTGAGAAATAATGAAAAGAAAGCATAAATTAGACCGAGAGAAAGGTATGAACTACGAATATAAATGCGTTCGATCGGGAATAGTATAGAAATCGAAATAGATCAGAAGAGTGAAAATCGAGGTGTTAAGCAAGGGCCTCGAAGGAGAACATATGATTTTGTCGGAGTCGACCAACATATAAAAGATAAAAGAATCATTTCGTGAGATTTTAACTTACCAAGAGATTTTAGAGCCTCTCAAAACAATTTCGGAAGTTTGGCTAGACATAATGTGAAACGAGGTGGAATTCGTAATGTGACATGAGGGTACGAGTATCGGCGTGCCAATGCACGTGACTTTATTGGAATCACTAATCCTCTGAAGTAAAGTTCGAGAAAAGATAATGAAGTTGAAGATTAGTTATTGCATTTGGAAAACAATCTCGGGACTATGATAGTTCTTGTACCTCTTTTCGAATGAGTCGGTCTACCTGCCCGTTGTATAGTACATTTCGTTAAAAAAATCCGTCTGACACGTCAAGGCAAATTGCGAACCATAGTGCTCGGTGTATACTTTGTTAATTAAAATCCGTCTGGCATTAAATTATAAGGCAAAATGTGAACACTCTTCTGAACCTTCTTCCGAACCACGGTGTTCGGTAAGAATGTTCCCAGGAAACAGGTTTGGCGGCTCGCTTGAACAGTTTCTACCAAGGCATGCCAAGGATATTTGCAAAATAAGCCTCGTTCTCCGTATTGTGCAAACTCAGGCGATATTAAGGTAACAAAACATTTTCTTCTAATTATTGCGCAATTTAGCCTCTTTATCACTTTCAGATACAGGGTTAGAATATAATGACTTGATATCTGATCTTTTATGTCATGCATCCTATATTCTCGAAATCTCGTTATGAACTTCACACTACCCGGATGTGCTTCGCTTGAGGTATTATTTTCAATAATAACTATTTTCCGTAGTAAATGTGTTCTCGTGTTTACATTCAAAGAGATTTGAGATAATCGTTTTATAATTTATTCTTATTGGGGGAATGTGTTACAGAAAAATTCTCAAAAATTCCGGTTGATTGTTTGGCAACTCAAGAACGGAAAGTTAACCGATTTTGGATTGATTTTTTCATCTGTGGAGTACTATGAATTATCATGCACGATTCTTAAAGATTGACTCAATTTCATTCGCGAAGATTTACTCGGTCCCGTGCTCTAGATACGCCAACGGATGTATGCTGGTTGGTTGCCTTTCCAATTCGGCGCATTATTAGCCAGCAGTTAGAAGTTTGAAGGATCAGAGCTGACTTCTTAAGCCACTGTTTTTTGTTGAGGTTCTCTCTAGCCCACATCTGTCTAGATCAACACGCGTGGATAAAGACTTGCGAACGTTTCTCCTTTGCCGTTTCATCAAACTTTGATACTATTCTAGCACAAAGACGGAGGCAGTCACTATTACTTTTACTGCTCGAATATGCCCACATCAAAATTATACGGCTTTTATCTATGAGTAGAAAGCTCGAATAAATCACGGTATGTTAATATTTCGTGTTCCTTCCTTTTCTTTTCTGCTAAAATTCATTCGGGGCTAAACCTTTAGAAGCTCTAAAGATGAAAGCATTATGTACTACTCATGTTATTGAAGCTCGTATGAATAGGATTAAAATTCATGAATGATAGGAAATTGATTCACTCACGCGACAAATCGTAGAAACATGAATCACTTGGTTGCACTTGAGGCTTGGACTGAAAATCATTCTAGAGATTTTTCCTCTTATTAATGTAAGCTGCCCGATGTAACCTCAGCTATCGGATCACGTCGCATCCATATCTTATCGTCAGTCACACCCGTCAATATTTCTAACATCAACAGCGTTCCCATCACTGATAGACGGCAGAATAAGACTATCCCGACAAAAAAAATTCCTTGGAATGAATGAAAAAGTAATCTGCTTGCCGCGACGCTTATGAATATTTTAAAAACGGGTCTTAACTTAGAAATATTCCAATCCACAAAGAAATTCAACTGACTTCAGGCCTTTTCAGAATTTATTTAGCACCCATCATTCCAAGGATACTTTCTTTGGATCACTAATTGATGAACCAAGGATCAAAAGAGAAAAACACATAAGGATCCCGCCAGAAATGAACTGATTGAGCTGCGATACAACGAATTATTAAACTCGATTGTCAACAAGGAGATAATAGTGCATCCATGGATCTCGAGTTGGGATCAGGAAGAGATCATGGAGGAAGATCTGGCGTATAGAGCTGCAATTGTGTCAGAGAATTAACGATCAGACACTTGGTAAGCTGAACTAATTCTCGGAAGAAATCAACGTTTGGATTGCCCAAAGAACTAATTCCTGCCTCAAAATCAGTGGCCCGAACTATAGGAACGATTATTAAGCCATAACTAGTCCAGGAAGCTCCTCTCCATAACCATGCATCGACTGTAACCTTTATCCTTACTCGATACTGCCATCGATATGCCCATCCTGGTTCCTCCCGCAAAGCAAGCTTCCTGAGAGGTAGCTTACTATGAAGCCAAAGTTCTTTCATGTGTCATAGCTAGTCACGAAACTCAGCAATGTATCTTTTGAGGTCCGCTGCAATAGCTTCCTTGCGAAGCTCAGTGTTTCTTGTACTAGATAATTCGTCGTCGATAATAAAAGGCGAGGTGTAAGGGACAGAGTGATCTGAATCAGCAAGGTAGCGATCCATGCGGTAAGCATAGAGTGATGAGGATCTGCTGGTTTCGGTAGAGGCTGGGATGGAACTGGAATAGTTCGGTGAGGTAGGATTCTCATTCGTTCTGGTTAGATACAAGAGTGTTAGAATTGCTGCTTTGCACTTTGAGATAGGGAGAAATTATCAAGGAAACGATCAACATATGAAGAGGGACAGGAAGTTCAATTGCGATATCAAGTGCATAGTTAGCAGATCTAATTGTTTTGATTTTTAAAACGAAGAGTCAAGTGATGAAGACTGAGAAGGGGAAGATTTGACCATAGTCAGTATCAAGCAAGGGACAGAACGAGGCATCAAAGAAGAAATGGGTTTCCATCGAATCTTGAAAATTCTGGAGTGAAAGGCTTAAGAGATGTGATTTTGAAGTGAAATGTACCACCGATGAAAGAGTAACGGGCGTAGAAAAGAACACTGACCCAGCAATATCGGAGCCGTGGACCGCTAAATTGGAGCATTGGCTCAAGTTAGACATGACAACAGTGCTCGTGAGTGATTTTCGATCGGGTGCTTCGCAAAAGTATTGTGGGTCGATGGTAACAAAAGGAGTCTAGTCTGGAGGGGGTGGTTGAGAGAATGTAGAGGCATACTCAAAGAAGAGAGACTTTATATGATGAACTGAAAATTGGACAAGCTACTAAGCTATAGATAGCAATTTACATGTCATTTAGACTGCCGCGCTTTGAGGATAGGGCTGTCTTTCGCGATAAACTCGAGCCACGAAATTAATGCATCATGCACCATGCCTACTACCAAAGCATGGCATTAGATCGCATCACACAACATCGAATGGTATGTCTCACAACAAGAATCTCATTCAGATTGCTCTTATTTCTTTGTAAATTTAAATTATTGTCCACTCGTCCAACAATTCTTGTTTGTTTCTTTCTGGACAGCAGACACTTGTGTTTTTCGGGTACATCTCCAAGAGTCAGGGATATATAATCAACGCGTGAAATCAATGATATTAAACATAAAGATAATGAGTCAATTAACTAGTATATCAATGAAGTACGGAGGAAATGTCTCGTAAATGTGTACACTAGCACTATTAGAGTCATGCTCAAATATAAAGCATCCTTTAGGCATCATCAGTATCAAAAAGATCAATCAAACGAGGAGTCACCTGAAAGGGAAACATCAAGAAGTTCCAACGGTCTATAAACTTACATTACCCGCAGATGCACGATCAGGCACAAACAATATCGAGCCGTTAGGAGATGCAAGCATTCATACCCGAGCCATTAACTGGGTAAGCTTGGACTAGGATAATAACGGGTGGCTGCTCTACCTGCCGAACCACACTCGGAACGGAACAAACCCGTATGCACTCGGCGAGATAATCATCAGGTGAAACCTTTCTCTTCGCATCCACCACAGAAATTCCAAAAATTTCCAACGATGGTCCAGACCGACTCATCGAAGTGGGAGCAGGCATTCCCGATAATCCATGTGCAAGTGGCGTTTGCACCTGCATATCCGGAAAATATTTGATTGATAGATTGAAAACCACTAACCAGGGGGTAATACCCTATTAAAAGAATTCTCAGTTGCAAACGAAAAGAAATAAATGAGAGCACGAAGTACAATGAAAGATTAGCTACTAGCGAGGCTGAGTCTATATAGGACATGACGCCATAGACTACTGATCACGTTCAACCCATTATTTTTAATCATTCTCCTTGGCGAATAGGAGAGCTATTACTAGCATTTCCGTCTTCATCAAGATAGAGACCTAGTAGTGTCATAGTAAGGAAAATAGGTGGTTACTATCACTAATGATAATTTATGGTTGGCAAATGAAGAATCAAAATTTAAGTGAAGAAAATGAAACACTATTGCTAGGTATCTACTGCTCAAAGTCCAGCCGCCACAAAAACACTTAGAGAAGCTCATCAAAAGTATGAGTCTTGTATTCTTATAGGAGCATAAGGTGCGCTGCTATTATATTAGAGATCATATACCAATGTCCAAGAATTAACCTTGTCCACAAAATCTTAGAAATGTTAGTATACCGTCAATGAATTTGTATCTTCCATTTATCATGAATCCAAACGCTGTGACACGCGCAACATCTCAGATGGTGCTCTGAGAACTGCAAGATCGTGTAATATTGACAGATTTTTTGGTGCTGTCATATTTCAAATAAATCTCATCGCATCGTTCTACCCCGCCTTTGATTGGCCCTGTAATATAATGGAGATAGCTAAGCACAACACACGATAACGCTTGGCAGAGATCGGTGTCATGTATGATCGCGATAATTCTATACTACTGTGGGACAGCATCTGAAGAGTTTACATGTTTCACATTCTTCGTGATTTCGGTAAGGTATTATAGATTCCCGGCAGCGCAATGTCTTGACCTCATATGAGAGATTCAATAAAATTCGCTTGCGAGACGGCTCTGCTTATTTTTTGCGCCAAAGCCTTGTGCCATTCTAGTACGAGCTAAAGAGAAGACAGGCAGTGTGTTGTCTCCAAAGATAATGAATTCTCCCTATCACAACATAATCCCACCTCGGTATTGCGCATCGAGAATATCTCCTAGGTGTGTTGGAAGAGCTTTCTAGGTTTTCTAACGCGGCTCTGGGACTAGTTTGGTTACATCTAAAACGAGATGATCAATAATCAATATGGGTGTGGTTACAACTTATCGGGCGAAGTCCCGATCATCGGCTGAGTCGGCTTCCTCTCGGGAACACATTCGCTGGTACTATAAAGCGGGCCATGAAGTGAGCCTCACCGGCACTTGGCTCCATCTCACAAGCTGAAAAATTATTTCTTCTTCTTTTGCTACAACCCTGTGCGATCAAAATCAGGGCCCAAAAAGCCCCGTTAGAGTGATCTCGCAACCGATCAATTCTTCCGCAACTAATGTTACTAAATTAGACCCTTCGTATTACTACAACTTTGCTAAACTGAGTCTTCATACCTGTCATAACATCTGCATAATGTTGGTCCAGCAGTGTTAGCACTCACGGCTCATCCTTGGCTCAAGGTGTAGGGTACAATTAGCGATAGATAAAATGGATATCAAAGCCTGATGCACTACCGGAAATTCAAGTACAGTATTACTGTCGCCAATTTGCTCTCACAAATTCACGACAAACATTTTGACATCATCCTAAGTTCGGGTTTGGCAAATAAATACAAATTCGAGTTCTTCTCAGCCAAGTTACTGGAACCGAATTATAGGGCTGATGCAGTAACGTAAGTCATGGCGTAATGCGTCTAATGGCGTAATGCGTCTAATTGCGGGGAACCACTCTATTAAAATCTCAATTACTCAACAATCAACTATAATACAATCTCCAGTATCACTTTCAGATTCATCTTCAACTTCTTCTCCAATATCCTCTTCAGTTTCAGTTTCATATTCAATTACTTTCCCTTTCCCTTTTCCTTTTTTCATTGTCTGTACCTTAGTAGCTTTTTCGACTTCCACTACTGCATCACATAATTCTTGCGTAGAAATATGAAAATGACCCTTCAAAACTAGTCTCTTTCCTTTCTTACGTATCGTACGTTTCTTCATAATAGCTCGTAAATTATTCGCATCGTGTTGGTGAACAATACTTTGAGCTCGAAGTTGCTCACTCCCAATCGTCAATTTTCGAATGTATTGACGAACCGGGGTTGAAAGAGTCGTATCATTTTCAATTGTTGAATTTAAAAGGTTATTTGCTGTTTGTAAGATTGCTACATCCGGGGGTGAGCTATTGACGAAGACTTGGTTAAAAATATCAAATTGGGTTGGTTCTTTGGATATTTCGACTTCGGGGGTAAACTCTCGACCCAGTGTACGGAACACTCTCTGTGGATTAAATGGATGTAACCCAGCTCCCCGCCATGCCGATTCGATATTTTGATGATGGCATACGTCGGCTCGAGCTTTAATATATGCCTCCATCCATTCAATCTTTTGTATTCGTACAAGTTGAGCTTGATTCAAATCAGAAAGTGCTGCGGTGAGCCGTTTTTTCAATGGACCGAAAACCGCAACATCAAGTGGCTGAAGCAAATGCGAGGTATGAGGAGGAAGTATAAGAAGTACAATTCGATTTTGAAGGCAGTGAGCTATAAAGCTTCCACTAATATGAGAATCGTGGCCATCGCAGATGAGAAGCCGATATTTGCCACCTGCTTTTGCACGAGTTGCAGGTTCGAAAACGCGTTTTAGCCATTCTAATCCATGAAGATTGCTTGTCCAGCCCTTTGTATTTGCTGAAAAGAACCAGCTACCAAGAACTTCCTTCGGAATCCAATTTTGAAGGACATTTTTACCTTTAAAAATCCCGAGTGGTGGAAGAATGGATCCATCCGCACAAATACACTCTACCATTGAAATCCACTCTTGACGGCCTGGATGTGCTTGATGTTTTGTACGAAGTGTAGAATCGATAATAATTCGAGTTGATTCCATTGTCCCAATTGAATGTCCAGATTCATCCATATTATATTCGTCTTTCTTCTCAATTCCATAATCCTGAATCGCTTTTTGATACGCGTCAAACCAAGTACTACATGTTTCCCTGGTTGCACCATCCATTCTTACAGATTCAATTCGACGGCCAATAACAACTGTAAGATGAGGATGTCGTTTGATAAATCGTGGAACCCATTCATGACCAAGAAGGTGTTGTGGTGGGAGTTCAAGGGAGTCAAATGAGGGGCAATCCAAATTATAAGTCCGTTTTGAACGTAACTCCTCAGCCAATTCTTTTAACAACTGATGGCCTGGTGAATAGCCGCTAATTGTCAATTGCTTTATCCACTTAAGAAGTACATTCTCTTGTACAGCAGAAAGTTTCTGTTGCGATTGACGTGCTTCAGAACGCGACGAACCCCCTTTGACGCGTCGCGTCACAGTATCTTTAGAAAGCCCCAGTTCTTTTGCAGCTTCATATGAAGACTTATACTTTCCATTTTGAACTCCTAATACTGCTTCAGAAAGTCGAGATTCCATTTCCTGCACTTTTAAACTTTTTCGACGGACCATTGTTGAATTGTTGCTTTTTTGATGGGGTGGTCCCCCACAATTAGACGCATTACGCCATTAGACGCATTACGCCATGACTTACGTTACAACTCGGCACGACAATGGTCGCATGTTAAAGTTGCAATCTCTAAATTTGAGTGAAACCGGAGAATTTTTGTACTTTGGTACAGATCCCCATTGATCTTTTGTAAGGCTAAGGCTTGATTGATTGAACAATGTATTGAGATGGCGCCATTCCACGTGGAACATTGGCACTATCACTTTGAAATCCTTTTGTGTAGAGCTCACAAATTGGCTTGTTGGTTTTAGATTCAATCCTTGTATCATAAATTCAAATCATTGATCAAGATCTGGTTCGATGATCAGTTGTGTGAGGGAAATGTTGCAACACTGGAGTCTGTGTCAGCAAGCAAACATGTTGATTGATATAGTCAGCTGGTCTCTTGCTGTTACCATTGGTGTCATTATGTGTGACCGCTTATGCCACTCAGAAATGGTTGTTTTCTCTCTAATTGTGGCTTGGTCTTCACTTCTTTACAACTGGGATTTCTAAGATAGATTTCAGACTACAGAAGAAACGCTAAGTAAATCAATAAAATCGTGAGCTTGATAGAGGCAAAAGTTCACGAAATCTGGACTATCATTGTTGGAAGTCCAGGATCACTAGAAGGCCGTTGGGCCTCAAAAGCCGCTTTGGATTGCGTAGTTCAATTCTCTTCTACTGATCATGAATCCCCACTCTAGTATTGTCTTGCTAGAACTAGATTCTAGGTCTATTCGCACAAGGGAGTCCCAGTCTCAGTGAGCTTGGAGAGCTCCCAATATGATTATTCAATTGACCTTACGAAAATCTTAAAATTAATTCCAAAGATTCCCCGTTCAATATATTGAGCTACTGGTGACTGACATTTCAATACTAGAACAATATTAAGAAGTTTTTGATCCAATACACTGTCTAGATGAGCATTTCTGGTCGGAATAGTCACAGATTTGTGGAAATGATCTATTTCTAGGCCATTAACGAACACCAATAGCTGACCATATTAGCACATGCTCTGGCGCTCACATAGACAAGTCATTGAATCAAGGTCTAAATTCATGGTGATTCATTCTCACGACAATTCTGCAGCAAGATAAGTCTGATTATATTGATCTCGACCCTCGATGACTTGCCTATACGGAACTCGTGCTCGCAACTGTGTCTGGACTGTCATGGTCATCATACTTTCAGGGACTTTTTTTCATCCACCGCTATAGATCTATCATTCTGACGAATGAAATCTCATGGCTTTGCGATTAGGGTTGCAATACCTTGTCAATACGTAGGAAGCTTGCTACCCTACAAGATACTTAGGAAAAATCCCAGGGCCTTATAACAGACCCTTGAAGCCTACAAAAAAGCCTACTTTCTACGCCACTACGTCAACACGACCCCAAATCTCCATCTAATTATGTGGAATTTTGCTCTCGCAGAACTTCTGTTCTCTTTTAAAGCACAACTTTCGTCAAATAATTAATCCCCATAATGTCAGCTCACGTCCACGAACTTCCCCACCTAATCGAGCTACACTTCTATCGACTTGACGAGAAAAAAGATCACGATGAGCGACTAGCGCTTGTTGCCTATGACAGAGAGGCAGGCATCAGGCTCAAAGATGGAACAGTCAATTGTCCAGCTATGTGGTTCGACCAAAATGGCAGAGCCCATAATAGAAGTGGTATTCTCTTCGGAACTGCAAAGTCGCATGGACTTATCGGGATGATCCATATGCCTCCTCGTCAGGCTATTGATATGATTTATCAACATGCTGCTTTGGTTAGTACTTTTCTTTGTCATGATAAATTTCTCCGAAGCAGGACTAACAACTGTGTAGTGGAGCGTGTACACGATTCTCGGCTTTGAGCTCAGTAAAGTAGAATCTATCGTAAGTTTTTCCTATCTTTCCCTTTCCGCTTGAACAAAAATCTTACAATCCACCCTTAGGAAATCCCCGATGATTACAAAACAAGTACCAAAGACTCCGCTTTCGTTACCTTTGTGAACTGGCTCCGTCTCTGGCTTTCTAAGGGATTCTATATTGATTCCCCCGATGACTGGGCTTATGCACGTCTGAACCAGGTTTCTCGCAATCGTAAACGTCACATAGTCCGAACTCGAGATGATGATGAACGTGGAAAAGCTGATGCTGAGAAATTTACAAAAGCGATATATACAGGATTTCATAAAGTGGTTGAGCATAAGCCTGAAGATCTTTTCAGTGTGAAGGATCCCGGAGTGATGGGGCAAGGAGCTTGGGATGGAACGGAAGCTGAGGCGGAAAGATTGATTAGCAGAGTGAAGAGGTTGGTTAATAAGAGGTTGGGGGTGGAGGACGAGGATGAATATGATGATTTGTAGAGTAGGTGGGGGGATTATGGGAAACATTGAAAGTGATTGAGCATCGATTGATTGATTAGAGTACATGTTGCATTGTGTTTGAGTTGTTGATAGATTTATAGGCGTTTATTCTGTAAGTGGTAATGACTAGGTAGTACTTTCACCCACGGGCTGTGCTTCATCTTATAGCTACCATGAACCAAAAAGATAAGATTCTCTATGTTGTATTAAAATAGGATTTCGAAAACCAATTGCACTCTATCGTTTCAAGAAGGAAGTTTCTCAACTACCAAGCCTTCTGGGCAATCCAGACAAGCTTAGGGCAAGATATCGCACAACCATCACGCACTTGATCCATGGCTTCCCGGCTGAGTTGCAGTGATTCTTCAGGCTTCCGCACAATCATCTTTGCAAACTCGTCCCAAGTGCTCATATAACTATAAAGTGTCAGCAAGCTGTATACGCTCAAAAGCCCTTTATATGTTATCTTACACGTCATTCCAATACCTTGCCATAGTCAGGTCGTATTCCACTTTGTGAAGTCGGACATCCTCAAATCCGTCTTCGTTGAGTATGTCTACCATATAGCGCTTCCAGCTGGGGTATGTTAGCAATTTGGGGTTACAATTTGTCAAGTCTCCACTCACTCGTGAGATCCACATAGCTGTTGAAAGAGGCGTTTTACGGCGTCTGTAGCCACAGATGAGTCAATAGTCTTGACGGTCCAATCAACGCTATCAGCCTCATCCCATTGAAGGAAACCACCAGGTTCTAGATTTTCATATGTTAGTACCATGAACATGATGGACTTAAGCAAATGATCAACTTACTAAGCAATTTCCGCAAATTAGCCAAGACAGGTCTTGGGTCGTTGTTCTTGATAGCAACTGTGATCAACCTCACATGAACAATGTCAAAGGTCTCCTGAAATTGTTTTGGTGGCTCTTTATAGACGTCCCAGGTGTGAAGATGAGTATTGGTCGGTAGCCATGGGGAGGGAGAACATTGATCAAGACTGATATCGAAGCCGTCTAGTCTTGCCGACGGAGAAACTTCGCGTGCCACATCCAAGAGCCAGATCCTAAAATCATATATCAGCGTTTGACCGGGAAGGAGAAGTAGTGCTTCGGCAAACCCGTTCCCCGTGGCAACATCTGCAATTCTTATCTGGCTGTTATCTGTAGGTATGTCTGGATGAATGTTAAATTTAAGGGCATCTTTCCACAAGTAATGCTGAGCAGTAAGTCTATCACAGAAATTACAGTCAGTAAAGACGAGCTCGGATATATTTTAAGTGTTGAATGAATAATTCACCTAGTACTCGCGTTGAAATCGCGCTTCAGGGCATAAACACCCTTGGGAATAGACTCATAAGTGTCGACCGACTGTGGAGTTGAAGCTATAAAAGGAGCCATTGCTATCTAATTGAAGAATTTCTGAAGAATTCTGAGGAGACAGAAAGAGGAAGTGCATGGAAATATTGATGAATGGAGAAAATTCTGAGATCTGGAGCCTTCTTTATAGGCAGAGCTTACTCCTTGCAACTGTAAATGCCTGAAAGCATGTGTGGCGAAGCACTAAATTCTATTCTCATGTCAAATGGGCATTTTCCGCGTTGAGTATTGCCTTTCTTCCAGTTGATACTAGTCAATCGTCCTAAAGGGAGATGACATTAGGTTGCAAAAATTCGCACACCGAGTCTTCACTTGATCCTCAGCTGTTGTACTTCAGGATTGATGATAAGCATTCAGACTTTCGTATGTAGAGTCATAAATAGAAGCGGACAAAAGATTCGACGTCTTTCACTTAAAAGACTTGGATCTCCAAGATATTGGCCATTTAATAGCAACCCTACACACAGCACCAATGGAAAAGAGAACAGCCAACAAGACAACCAGTGATTGCAACTTTACTTTCATGGATGCCTAGTATAATTGTCTCATTACGACTTCCAAGTTATTCAATACTACTCTATCAGTCAAGGTAATATAGCATGGCCTCTAGTGTCTTTTTTGTGAAACTTTCTGCTCTACAAGATTCTGCCAGTAGGACTCTGCCAACATCATTGATGCCATTGTCCGCCTGGAATCCCACAACCCCTATCTCAAACATACGGGATTGAAACAGCCTGTGATACAATCTCTGCAATAGAAAATGTACCGTTGCGGCAAAAGAGTGACAGTGACATACTATTGACTCAATGCCGAACTTAAAATGCAACACATAAGCATAAGCTGGGCAGTGAGAAACGGCATTTATCACTCATCGTATAGTTGATTTGATCATCATTGGTGAGGTTCCGGTACGCCTGGTCGTTCCTCTGAACCCAGAAATATCCGGAGGTCAATTAAAGGGACGATCCGGTCTACAATAGTTCTGCAGTGCGATGTTCGTATACGGATTTCCCCTTTGATTTGCTTGAATGGATTACGTAGATGGATATTGAGCAAATCTTATTCCCACGTCAGATAGCGCCTAGGGGAAGCAACAATTGGTTGAAAGACCTTCAAAAACAGTTACACAAACAAGTTGAAGTGTCATCTTCGCAGATTATTCATCTCTCTAGTATACTGATTCAAGTTCAGCCCGGGGCACAGTCAACGCCTCAAAGCCTATTCTGCCAAAGACCTAGCATAGAAGAAATTTCCCATATGCAAAACATAATCGTGGATGCGCCTCCCTTTAGTCTCCAAATCTCGACAAAAACAATTCTTCACCTTAATCGTCGTCCTTTTAGATAATCGAATGGATGTATGGAACTGCGCTCTGAGGATAACATCTCATATGTCGAGCGTTCCGATGAGATTTTGAATAATACGAAAGAACGAGTATTACCCTAGCGGATTGGATGCGAACGCCAGAGTAGATCACGCTCTTGCAACAGATGGTGTTGATTACTCTGGGACGTTGCATTGTCTTGGGTCGCCCTTGTCTACTCGGCGTCATTCTTTATGAATGCCGGGCTGAGTAAGCGGCTTGGTCGGGACTTTCATAGGATTTTAAAAGGAATACATACCCTTTTGGAAGTTAAAGACAAAAGAATTTTTGAAATGGGGCATTGATTCTCCAAATGTATCTCAGGATTTCAGTACAATTTGAATTCAAAACTTCTCCATACGATAAACGAGAATTTATTGGGTTTTGACACGGATTAAGTTTTAGTTGATCTCTGTGAGAAAATTCGCTAGATGAAATCGGTCCGGCATTGAATGAAGATGACAATGAGAATCACGTCATCAATATGTCTTGCCTGGCCTATCATGAGATTTATACTGCATTGTGTCAAAGTAAGATAATGGTTAATCACATTAGCACTATACAATGATCTAGTTAAGAATTCCTCATTGGTCTGGTTTGAATTAGAGGAGCTACAGTATAGTGATTATACGCTTGATTTTTTTTGCTAGCACAATTTCAAGCATTTTCTTAGCTCCCGAATGCAAATCATATGGCCTTTGATAGCGGTGATGACATGTCAAAATAGACAAAAATATTTTGAAGTTTTCCACTGAAGTTTTCCACATAGATCACACTGCATGAGCTCCTGGTCAAGATCTACTGCCTCAAGATCCAAAAAGAGAAACCTCTACTAATCAACAAAATGTATGAAAATTCGCTTATTACATTCCATAAGTCTTTCATAGAACGCTACATTCTTTCCTGATTCTCAATCTAAGTCCACTTTTCAATGAAAGTAAGGGTTTTCTCAACAATTTCCTCGGGACAGCTGATAAATGGACAATGAGATGTCTTGAGATCTGTGATATCCCACGAGACTTTGCTCTTCTCGATCCAAATATCTTGTAAAAACAATGGATTGCATTGGTCGTCCGCAGTACGAATGTAGACACGACGTCCATCGAACGATGGCTCCGCCCAAGCTGGAGCCGGAGCTGGGGTTTCGAAGGCTGCTAAAGCATGAGGAATCATAGCAGCTTCAAGAGCGGGTGCTAAAGATATATCACAATCAGCGTAGAGGATTGGCATTACAGGATCGATGACTGCAAGACCCGGAGATGGCTATAGCGAAGCAAAAAAGTTTCATTAGCATTGGACAACATTGCAAATTCGGGTTGACTTGGGTTCAAACTCACTGTTCCAACTTTGATGAAAGGAGGGTATCCACCACCGACAGCTTCAAATAAGCTTTCGCCTTCAGAGACAATATTGCCAACCCAGTATACCAGTCCCAGGACACCACCAGCTTCGCCGCGAGAACTACGTGCAGCTTTACTCAAGCCAGCCGCAGCAGCTCCTCCAACAACCCCTCCATAAGAGTGAGTAATAACAATTACATCTTTGTGTTGCTCCTCAATGAGAGGCAATAGAACATTTTTGCGAGCCTCTGAAACATCGTTGGAAGAAGATATTGAGCCCAAATTGGACGGGTTTGGATTGCAGGAAGGAATGCGAACATAGACAAATGGATATCCAGCCTTCTCAAACAAAGGCACAACACGATCGAAGCAAGAAGGATCAGCGAACGCACCCGCAAAAAACACAAGAGTTGGACGAGGAGAACTCATATTGCAATGTTAGATCCAAGATAAATTGAGAGATGCTATTCAAAGACTATAGAAAGAGAAATATTGTACAGTAGATCGGCCCATATATGTGTGAGTAAATATCACGGCGCATGCATCAGCAATGTTGGGTCTAACTTATTTGAGAAGCAAACGGGTGGAAATGATCGGCAGTCAGCGGGGATTGATTAAAAAGTCTCGCCAACGTTACACCGTGCGGGGCTTGCGTCTTCTCCTGCTGCATTGCCCCTATCAATACCCCTGTTCTACCATGGAGATATCCCGAGGCCTGTATTGATAATTACGAAATAACCCAAAAGCTAGATTAATAATACCTGGGTAGGCATGTCACAATACCCAGGTACTCAGGCGTGCGTGTTTCATCTCTTCGCTATGCCGATATATAGCGAGGTTCACCAACATAGTTGATATTGATCAGCCTTCTCGAAGTTCGAAATTCTATCGGTTTCAAGTCTCTAGGATTTTATTGCGTTGCATAATCCCAAATCATGACTTTTGACTGTCGAATAGGTGACTATCCCCTAAACACGCATGAGCTGTAAGTTCTCGAGATTCCTCATGGATGATTGAACCACCCGAACACAGCATCAAATCCAATATACGGCTGATTCCGAGCTGACGACTATTTCTTGACCACACCAGCGTATATTTCTACCATAAGCCAGAACCATGTAATATGAGATCAAGTATCCGAAGATGACTGCATGAAAGGAAGCGGCATATGTGTAACATCAGAAATTTACCATGTTATATTATACTTGCTGCTGACCTCCGGACCGGTATCCCAGGCATTGCTGACCTCGAGCTTTCTTTATACATATCTTCACTTTATCTATTCTCACTGCAAGTTTAACTCTGCTATGGCTGATTCAATCGATCTGTCTGCCAGCAGACAAGCCAACTTGTACGCAGCAGATATCATCACATTTTTCGCTGCTGTAGTGGCAGTAGGACTTCGCATATGGTCGCGGCGAGTTGCTGGTGCTGGATTGTGGTTGGATGATCTCTTTATTTGCGTAGCACTGGTAAGTTTTCGCTTTTAAAAAGAGAATCGGAATTAATCCTATCCAGGTTGGTGGTGTTGCGATGATGATCAACTTTTGTTGGTGTAAGTATGAGTTCTCTATACTCATTGACTCCCATCACTGTTACTCATTCAACACTAGGGATACCACACGGATTTGGAAAACATATGGAGGCATTTGGCCCTAAAGCGGAGTATAATTTTTTCTTGGGGTTCTTCATGGCAGAAGTAATATACACTGTCATCATCGTCTTCGTCAAATATTCTATCCTGGCCTTGTACTGGCGGGTCTTTCGAAGCACCAGCATCAAATGGCCAGTGGCAATACTAGCGGCGATTGTCACATCTTGGGGAATCGCAGTGGTAAGCGATCCATCTGTCCATCAAGTGCCGGGATTCTAATGTAACCCACATAGCTTTTTCTTTCCATCTTCACTTGCGTGCCTCCAAAAGGCTTTTGGGATAAAGACATACATGCTGCTTGCAACGTCAATAGCCAGCAGTTTTTGATCGGTATCTCGGTTCCTAATATCCTTACGGATGTTGCTCTGCTGTTATTACCAATACCATATGTTCTGCGGTTGAACACTGCCTGGTCTCAGAAGCGACTCTTGATGGGCACATTTCTACTTGGAGGATTGTAAGTTCCTCAAATGTCATATAACGTATGTTTAATTTGCATTTGTCCTAACTTAAATCTGCTACAGCGTCTGTATAGCATCAATCATGAGATTGATTAGTGTTTGGCAGCAGAATTCTGTTTCGGACTTTAGCTGGAATTGGGTGGATCAGGGGATATGGGCAGTGGTGGAAAGTAATTTTGCAATAGTGTCAGGTATACCGCTTCACTCACCTTGATACACTTCCCAATGCCTATCCCTCCAATCCTATATGGAATATGCTGATTATAACCGACAAAAGCTTGTCTTCCAACCCTGCGCATCGTGTGGGTGTGTATATCCAGGCGCAAAAAGAACCAAGCATCGGCACCAACCTCAGATAGACCAGCGATCTGGACAATTGGATCAGGTCCGAGGAAACAGAATCGCAAACGAAAAGGAGAGTTGACTCTCGGGGAATCTATGTCGACGGACTCAACGCACCCATTCACAAGCTTGCATGATGCTGAGGAAGGCAATATCTCGGGAGATAAGGTGCATGTACGTTCAAGTATAGAGGTACATTCGGAAAGGGATACTATGAATTCTCCTTATCGGGAGAATTTCAATATGGTTCCATTGAGAAAAATATAAAAGCCTGTGAAGAGAAAAGACGAGCAGACATTTTTTTCGATTCAGAGCGTACGTGTATTGAGATCCAAATATTCCTCCGTCAATGTAGCTTCCATATATCTGCTCTTATGCTGCTTTCACTTTTCGAGTTAGAGCCCTATAGCTCTGTGCGCCATCCAACAAGTGTAAGTGTGGCTGATGGTTATTTTGTCCAGCAGCAGCATATTTTTCGCAACTTGGTCAACACTCGTTGTCTTATCACCGTAACGACATTTTCACAGCTACATCAAGTTGGTTTATACAAATACAACAATAATGAACACGCTCTGCGGCCTCAGAGCCTGCTGGGATCTTTGAGTGCGGCTTATCTCCAACGAGTTGATTTGGTTAGATTATGGTTGGCTCGAATGAACCTCTGTTTGACGAAAAGTAATGAAGGAAGGCAGAATTTCTTCGGTGGTCTAATCATGATAGCTGTATCAAGCGTTTGTTCAGCAGATCGTGCAACGCAGGAAGAGAGTCTATCGTCTATAGAATGGGGGCGGTTCGCGTCAAGGGACAACAGCTATCGGCTCTTCTACGTTAGTTTTAAACATTCAGATACCTTCTGAATCACACAAGATGTTAAATGGATATGGTTCGTGTGGTGCTGAAGGAAAGTGGGCTTGTCCCAATGCGTTCTAGTGAGAGCTCTGATATATATATTAGAGCTCTTATCCATGTAGTCAATTAGTACATTGAGTATTATACACTGAATGCCTTCAAATTCCAGCCTACGCTTCCCTCCGTACCCTGTAGAGAGTCATACTTGAAACATGAGAAAGAATTTAAAGAGCATGACTCCCACAAAGATTCCGTGCGCAGAATTAAATTGTGTGACGCATGAGAATTACAATTCTGAGATGTGTGAGTGTAGCAACACTTCCTACCAGGCGGTTAGTGTGAAAGATAGACTATTGCACAAACGAATAGGTTGGTTGCAAGGAAAATCCCCTACATCTACCAACTCCGATGCCGTACACGTTATGGAGTGGCAGCTCCTAGACCGATATAAGAAGGAAAGTAGATTGCCACCGCAAGCGAAACCAACAATTTCAGTTCAGGAGCCAACGATATGATGTGATCCAGCGATTTTTTTCTCTAGCACCTTAAGGACAGGGTTGGGCACCTAGTAGGGTTTACCCGGGTATACCCGGGTACTTTTTCCAGGTATTTCGATGAATATTCAACCTATAATATATTTTTAAATAAAGTAAATATCCGAAAGATAATATCAAATACAAATATATTCGCAAATAAATATTATATAAATCCATTGATTTACCCCAAAAGAATCACTACAACGGGGAGCCTCATAGAATTGAAAACCAATACGACTCGAACCCGAATAATCTGCCGATTCGGGCCATTTTTGTGGCCGAGATCCGGAATGGTTCGGGTACCGAGGCCGATTTGGTCGATATGACCAAAACCCCAAAAATAGATTTCTGCCTGAAGCAAAAAAAATTTCTAAAATTTGTATGGTGTGGCCATAGAAAACTTGGAAAAAATATTTGTACCATACAGAACGCGATCTCATCGCATATCATTATAAAAACTATATATAATATATCTTTAATTTTTCGAATAATATAATAGCTACAATAATATTATTAAATTATAAAAGTTATTTGAATAATAAAGCTTACTTTTTATCGATTATATAAAGCTTATAAAATTATCTTAATATATTTAATCTTATAATAAATAAATATATTTAATATAAACAAATAATTAAATCAATTTACTTTTTAATCGAAAATCTTTTATTTAATTTAAAGAAAATTAATAATATTAAATTATATAATCAATATAATAAAATAACATTTAATTTTATTAATCTTTAATATATTAAATTCAAAATATTTATATAATTTATTAAAGTCTATATTCTTTGAATTATTAAAAGTTAATAAAAATCAATATATTAATTTTTTTATATAATATTTATTAATATTTTATTAACTAAAATATTATTTTACATATATAAGTGTTACGATCAAGGTCGTCACATGACTAGATTAACTAAATATTACCTAACTAAGATATCCTACTAAGTCTTATTGAGTGAGGCTTAGTGGGATATAGTAGGAAGTAGTAGGATAACAGAGAATAAAGGTTTATATAAGGAATAGAATTTCATTATAATATAGAGCTTTATACTCAAGAATAATTATTAGTTTTATTATTATAGTTAACGTGATTTATCATCATGCGGCCCATATCATCATGCGGCCCACTTTCACCTCAATTTGTATTTTTAAATCCATATTACTCAACAACAATTGATTCAATTGATTAAAACTATTAAGAATCTAATAATCTAGGATCTATTATATCGTTTTGACAAATTCTTGAATTATGACCTGGTTTTCCACACTTACTACAGCATCTATTAGAAGATACTTCCCCATTAGGATTCCTCCCTTTTTGACACTCGTCACATTGAATCTGAACATCAACCTCTTACTGAGATAATATATCAAGAGCCTCTTGTCCAGTAAATACTCCTCCTTAACGCAATTAAGTTTTTTTCGCACATCGATGCTTGCTTAATACCTCATTTGCTACCCGAAGTGTACAGATCTCTACACTTAAAAGTGTATTCTCATAAGCTAATCTCTCTGTACCTTTAGCTAAAACTAATACAATCTCAAATATAGATATAGAAGAACTTGATTGATAACGATTGATTCGAGATTTAACTAATGTTGATTGAGAAAGAGCTTCTGTAAGATTGTAAAGAGTTTGAAAGGTCCAGAGGTCTAAATTGACAAAAAAAGGAGGACTAAGTATATGTATTCGAATATCTAATTTTGAGAGTACTATTTCAGGATTAAAGGGGACTAATCCTGTTCCTCGGAATCCAGATTTCATATTCTGATTTGTGATCGATCATTGATATACAGCTTTGAAAGCTATAAAGAATTCGACCTGTGAGATATGATTGATATGTGCCCTTATAAACCCCTCAATTTGAATACCATATTTTTGTTTTAACTTATTAAAACATCCGACATTAAGTGGTTGAGTTAAATGATTTGAATACAATAGTAGACATATGTATATAATATTATTCTCCTTGTAATATAATTGAAAAGGTATAGATTCGTAGTTTTCGTATCTGTTTAGCACCAACATTCAGTATTTGTCTACTCTGCAATTCTTTGTATATTTATTGAAGTGTTTTAACCATTCCAATCCTGTCTCATTGTTCGTCCACCCATTGCTAGTAGGTTTAATAGCCCAATCTGCAGGAAGATCGGTTTCCGTATACCAATTGGAAAGATGCACCTGTCCTTGAACCACCAGGAATGGAGGTATGATTTCCCCTACACTACTACCGCATATGATCGCTGTCGCCCATTCCCTATTGCCTGGTTGTACTGCTTTACTCCTACCACTCCTCCCAGCACTAGTAACTACCATACCAGCATTTATAACTCCCATCATAAAGCCTGTTTCGTCGAAATTCTATATATCGCAATCTTGTATACCAAATTTCGCTCGCATATTCGATATAAAACGAAACCACTTTCAAATAAACTCAGGATCCTCGCACAAAGCTCTTTGAAAGTTATAAACACGACTAAAACACGTCTTTAATTCTTTATGACGTTTTACGAATCGATGCGCCCAGAGCTTTCCAATCGCTTTTCCACCTCCCGATTCAAGAATATGATTCGCTATATCTTCCACCCCTTTAAGTTTAAATGGAAAACCTCTCGAATCCATATCAAGAATATATTGAATAATAATCTCTTCTTCTAATTCTGTAAGTTTATAGGTTTTATATCGATATTCTATACAAGGGGTAAAACCGTTTATTCTACGCCGTAGTGTTGTACATAGTATATTATACATCGTAGCAACCTTTCTAACACTTAGTTTTTTGTCTTTATGAATAGCATCGATAGCTAGGAGTATACGGGCTTCTTTATTATTCGAATGCATCGTGGGTTGTTGATAAAACACGTGTTGAAATAAAAGAGTGCAAATTGAGGTGAAAGTGGGCTGCATGATGATATGGGCCGCATGATGATAAACCACGTTATCTCAAACGCATTAGTATTGAAAGAAGATGTAACGTGATTTAACACCGAGTGCACCATATCACCGAATGCAACACTTCAAAATACACCAAAATTAGCCTTTTCCTAATATTCATATTTTAATACTTAATCAATATTTTTTAAAAAACAAAAAAGATTTATTAATAAGAAAATATTTTTTATAAAAGTATTAAGTTTCTATATAAAAATTTCTATTATATTCTATAAAAAGTGGAAATTGTCACGATTTTCGTTACAAAAAAACTATTCCTATAATAACTACTATATTAACTCAAATTTTTAATAAATAATTAAATTTTTATAATATTTATATAATTAAATGTTACAATTTCAAATTTTGAAAAATTATATTATTAAATAAAGAAAGTGCACGGTTACGCACAGACGTATTTTGTATGTAAAATTCGTGGTGCACTCGGTGATATGGTGCACTCGGTGTTAAACCACGTTAAGCGTATTGCAATTAAAACCTGTCAAATTCTTGTATACATCTGTTCCAGGCTAGATGAGGTAATAAGTAGAGCTAATTTCAACCACCAGCTTGGGTGGCAAATCTTTTGTATCATCGAAAACAAATCAATATCATTTGGCTCGAAGCTATTCTACCTCTGAAAAATGCGGGTGATAAATTTCTTCCAAAAATTTCGAGACGCACACTCACGCTGTTGCCCCTATCAGCCTTGAATGGTCCTCAAATCACGACCGACAACACGAAAGATCGTGGTTTGCAATTCGTCCCCATGTAGTTCGCAAAACCACAATTTTCTTGTCACACGTAGCCTTGTTGGTCAAAAGGATTTTTGGAAACCCAGCCTTGAAATGACCACAATCCTAACCAAGAATACCAAAAGATTATGAAATGTAAAGTAGTTCGCATTGCTCTAGGCTCCCAATATGGAATTGTTTTCAAATCTTGTCAAAGATGTTAAAATTTGTGGTTCTTAAAGAAAACATCACTTTTGCTATATCATCTTTGCCTCACCGCAATCGTCCCCAGCCTCGTTGTCTCACTAAGTCCAATTTTCTTCCAGCCTCGGTCATGCCTGTCAAAAAAGATAAAGTATGTGGTTCTTGAGAAAAAGAAAATGCCCCTGCTGGGCCGTACCCCTCAGTATCCTCAGCGTCTGGCTGAGAACCTGGAAATCTAACTAGCATACCATACACAGCGCACGGGGGTCACACACAAGAATAATTAGCCTAAGCGAGTCAAGTAGAGGGTACGTCTGCTCCAACGCCATATCCATAGCTCGACCTTCCACACTCTTATTTTGACCCCATAAGCCCACCTATAGCAAAGCTAGCAAAGCTACATTGCATATGCCGTATTACCAAAAGCGAGGTGATTATGAGCTCATTGGATAATCCATTTGAGATTTCATTAATGGAGTGACGATTTCCATCGGCCCCTACCTTACCCTTACCAGGGATTTACAAACTACGCGCACCCAAAAGACTATTTTTTTTTGAAGGATCTATTCCAGTAAATATAGTTACACTGCGACTGAATAAGATTCAGTACATAATCGTGCATCTAGTAATGGAACTAATGAGATTGTTAGTTAACAAGTTAATAAGTCAACTAATATACTATATAAATTTTAGAAACCCAGCAACTTTATAATATTTTCAGAATTTATCTTTTCGAAGATCTTAATATAAGTCGAGTACTCGACTTTCTAGTCACTCCTGTTATGAGTCACCTTTCATCATTAAAATTAATAAAGAAAACTTTTTTATTTATAGATAGAATTTATTGAAAATTTATATTTATATGATTCAGATCATTTTAAGCCTATATTAAAAATTTCTGATTTTTAGGATTTTTCTAAATAAAGATTTGAAACTTTAAAATATCGACTTTTTAAATTTATATAAGAATTACATACAAATTTTACTTTTTTAAAAAATCTTTAATAACTTTTTAATTAAAATTATTAAAAATAAACTTTAGATTTTTATTAAAAAAATTTATTTATAATATAGAAGATTCAAAAAAATTAGAAAGATTTCAATTAATAAGTATTTATAAAAATACTTTCGAAATTATAACGACTACAACAAAAGGACTATTATTCTCCGTAAGGAATAGCTGGCTCAGTAATAAAGCAATTCGTACCCGTTTTTATTCTAAATTATTTTTCAATTAATATTTATTTTTTCGAAGTTTAATCATCTTTAAATTTATAGCTCAGTATTTATATATAATTAAAAAAAAATCGGAATCTTTTCTCAATCCTCTAATACCAACAAAAAAAAACCTTTACTCTACCACCACCCCACCTTTTTACTTTTAAAAAGTAATTTTACTTATATTCGAATGGTTATAATATATCCCCCTCTTTCTCTCAACAATATAATTATCTATTTACAACAACCTATAATCACTCTAGCCTTTATTAACCTACAACCCTACCTTTTTTTAAGACTTCAAATAATCTTTAAACTCTTTAGCATAAAGTGAGCTAAACAGCCTAAACTTGTTAGCAAAAGTAATAAATAATACTTATAACATTACCCACTCTCCGCCAACATTACAGTCATAAAAGAACAAAATGCTTAACTAAGCCGATAATTATATATATATAGAACTATTAGCTTAGTCTATCCCTAATACCCCCTGGAAGGTTGTGGCAAGCTTTTATGGCTTGCCCCTCGAATGTAAATTAATAAATTAATAAATAAATAAATTATAACGACTATTTTTCTCCATTTAAATTATATCTTTATAACTATTAATTTTTATAATTTTTTATATAAATTTAAACTTAAACCTTTTAAAAAGTATTTAATCTTTTTTATCAATTATAATTAAAAAGTTATTAAAGATTTAAAACTGATTTCAAATTTATAGATAATTTTTATATAAATTAAAAAATCAATATTTTAAAGCTTCAAATCTTCACTTATAAAAATCCTAAAAATCTAAAATCTTCAATATAAACTTAAAATGATCTGAATTATATATATATATTGATAGAGATATTAATAAACTAAAAAAGCACTTTTTAGTGTAAAAGAATAACTTAAAACAGGAGTAGTTATGACTTACTAAACTATAGAGCTAGATTAAGAGATCATTTTTTGACTTTAGAAATTTAATATTTCTATTAGATATAGAATTATACTTAATTCTATAATATATATATTTTTTCCATCAGATTTATAAAATCACTGGGTTTTTAAAGTTGGTGTGATGTGTTAATTGACTTGTTGACTTGTTGACTAGTAATCTCGTTAATTCCATTATTAGGTGTATGGTTAGATATGGAAGAGTGATATGGCTAAAATTACGACCGAACAAGGGCTTGGCGAAAATTTGGAAGGTCAGTGACAAGATTGGAAGAGTGATATGGCACTGGGACCTGTCACTACTTTTACTCGTTGCATGTAACCTTCAGAAATAGATGACCGGAATGGTTGCTCATGAGTTTCCTTCAGTATATAAACACTTTGTTTCCCCAAGGTTTTCACTATTTTCTTCCTTTATACAAGAGATTCTTCTTGATCAGATGTTCGTAGTTCAATTGCCAAATTCCTCTCGCCAATCCTGAACGATACATCTACGTACCTCAAATCCCAAAGTAACCATGTCGAACAATAGTAAGAGCTCCTGCATTGCTGTGCAAGGCTCTGTAACCTCCGAGTAAGTTATCTTTGTTTCCTGCATTCGATAATACCATACGGGATATCCTCTCCAGTTCGCAACATGACATGATGTTCCTCAATGGCTTTTGTTTTCTATCCTCTAGCCTATTGGACTTTAAGATACTCTTTCAGCAGAGTCTGCATTGGATCAAGTATCCTGCAACTCGTCCTCTCTGTCCATTTTTGCACATCCCCATTTCACCTGCTATGAGGTTATCTATAGCCAAAAACTACTAATATGCAATGCAATAATTTGTCTTCAATCAATAGCCCATTCATTCCTCCCTCTCAACTGTGGCCATCTGAAGGAGTACTTTCTAATGTATCCTTCTTTCATTTAGCCCAACTACTACGTCGCATAGCTCTTCGAACGCACACTCTCCTACTGAAGCTGGGCATCTCTCTACACATCGCATTCACCGCTACCTTGTCGACAACGACTCTCCCGTGCCATACGTCCTGCCTACTGTCCATGTCAATGGCAACCTCAACAGAAGTTCAACTGCTATACATACAATGAGCGGGAAATTGCAGCAGTTCGATAGAATATTCTAGCGTAAATGAGAGGCTTGGCACATCACTTGAAGGTTCAAAGTGGGCTTGGCAACGTTGGATGGTTACAAGAGAGGCCTTTAGGATGATTCGATAACTTAACAGGAATGGGAAACTTGTCACCAATTTGTTAACATTTTCATTGAGGTTTCTTTACCAAGTGACATTAAGATAACAGTGAGTAATAGGTACGCTTAATCGTGAGTCTCCTTTCAATCAAGAGGCACTTGTGCACTTGTATGAAGGCTATGTAGAGAGAGACCAGCCAACTTTGTGGTCATAAAAGAATGGTGAACGTGACTGATGAGTTCTACCATAGTAAGTGTACGGTCTGCCCTCAATCGCTTATAGGAACAGGAACCACCGGGGGTCATTGGTACGAATTTCATGTACCATTCTCTGTACAACTCAAGTGATTAAGACAAGTAAGCCTCTGACATGACGTTCAGTGTATTTTTGTGGTAAAAGGTGAAGTAAATCGATATCCCAGACTTCAGGAAATTCAATAGGACAGGCTAGCGCTCTATGATCTTCGGAACTGCTGACCTTGACATGGACCTGATGAAGATTTCTCGGTCTAATCCACAACGAAAGGGAGACACACGTCAACGACAAGTTGGAAGACGAAGCATTGAAATCAGTAATGTTCAATCGATCTGGATTCGTCCCTGTTCAACTCGAATAGCGACTTGAGTCTCAATCATCCAGCAGATAGCATAGAATTCTACTTGAACTCAAGCCACGAGGTGGGTAGTGTATTGCTGACCGCCATGCTTCACCATTAGTAATTGTATGTCCAAAATGTTGGCAAATAGCACGTGAACCGTGTGCTGAACTCGGCGAATCACAATCCTGGAAGTAAGTCGGTTCCCTTCTCAAACCATACTTCACCATCATGCCTTGTAAGATGGCCTATTGGTATGTTGAAATGAGTACGAAGTATGAGTGGAGAGATCATGTTGTTGGAAGAATGAAAGACAGGGGAAGTTAACTTCTCACTAGCAACAAAACAGGAATAGTATGTTTCTGCAATGTTGGGTTCGACCCGATAAGCTCTAGCGTCGTGGGAACTGCGTCATTTGCAGCTTAAGCTGCTTTGCTCGTTCATCTATTAAAGACCCAGGTAGATAATTTAATTTGGATCTTTCCATCAAGAATATTGGAGTAGTAAGGAAACTCTTAGCAAGCAAGCAATAGCAAGCAAGCAATACGATTGATATCATACTATTTCGAAGGACTCCTACATTACTATCTTGTCTACAAAATACATAAAACGAAATCACATCAGGATTCTTTCAACCGGCGGAATTCAAAAGCCTAATCTTATTACTAGGTGTAAATCTTTAGTCCAGCCTTACAGCTCCAGAGACTATCGAGCTAATCAGCCCACCTTAATAAGAACCAAACAAACCAAACGAGCCAAGAAGCTTCCAATTCCACCAAACATACCTACCTAACTACTTACTCAAGCTGAACACACCAGAAATATCTAAACATCATCTCATAACACAAGGTTCAACATCAAGATGTCATCTACACCTACGTTAATCGGTATGCCCGAGCCACCATCAAATGTTGATACTCCAGTCGATGCACCGTACGTAGCTGTCCCCTCCATTACCACACTCTAGCAAACCACTAATCTAATTCTCTCCAGAGGAACTCCCAACTCAACCACCACATCCCTCTCCGCCCTCTCTACTACCGCCATCAAAGATGGACAACGCGGCTCCGCCCATCCTACCGCAAGTTCCCACCACCAACACACCCTCTCTAGCAATACTCTCGAAGCACAACGCGCGGATCGAATTTCCCGTCTCGCAGGTCTCGAACGAGTCACCACCGCAACCCCTCAAAACCCCAGCGGTAACACCTCTATCCCCGTAACCGGTCAGATCCCAGGCTATTTCGATCAAGCCGGAAATCCCGTCTACACAACCCGCATGTCTACGGTCGGTTCTGCATCCGCGACTGGATCTCTCACCGGTCGGACAACCACATGGGCATCTAATAGTGCGAAGGGACAAACGGAAGCCGATGATGATGAAATGAGCATGGATAACAACTTCCGGGAAATCGATGATCGGGATCGATTTTCCGCATCTGCTATGGATGAAGAAGGCAACGAGGATGGAATGAGCGACGATACGAGTTTAGTCGGATTTGGCGAAGGAGCCGGAAGTACCGTCAGCGGACCAATATACAGCCGGAGTAATCTCCTCGCGAGTCCTCTCGCCGTCGGAAAAAGCGGTCTAGCAAAAGAAGTCTCCAGCAGCAATCCCGGCACTCCCGTCAGCGCATCGACATCCACAACCACGGAGCAGCAAAAACGCGATGCGAGAATGCTAGATGGAATTACGGATGATAATACCAGCGGATATGTAGACACGGCTGCGAGGGGTCAGGGGGTAGGAATTGCCGGAAATCGCAATTCGACCGGTTCGGGATTGGGTACAGGAGTAGGTGCCGAAGCTGCAGAGAAGATCCTGAAAGAGAGGATTGAGGATAGTCCTTCTGCCGCGAGTAGACCTCCGCTTGGGAGTCCCGATCAAGCGGGTCTTGGAAAGTTTTATTTCGAGGAGAAGAAGTAAGGATTTCTTTTCCTAACAAAAATCGATATTGAGAATTGTATGTGGGATATGTGTGGAACGAGTGCATCGAATTGTCCAAAGTGAGCATCGTTCAATATTGGCGGGCGTTGACGTGTTGTCCTTTTTTTTCTTCTTCTTTTCTATGTATGGGTACCTATGATTTTGGCTGGGCTAGGCTGGTCTGGTCTGATAGCGGACGGATTGGGGACAATGGAGGGGGAAAGGGAGCGGGGTTCTGGGGAGATTATTAGGAGATTATTAGGCGGTTGGGTAGGCAGACAGGCTTCTTCGTATGATGGGTATGCTGCGGAAGATGATGCGATATTTTATGATGAATGGAATTGATTGATTGATTCATGAAAATTGAATGCATATGTGCGTGCATGCAGGATTTTAAGTATAATATGCCAATATCGATGTGAATGACGATATGTAAAGGGAGATGTAAAGGATATTTCCCATCTCCATCTCCATCGATTCAAACCGAATTCCCTTCCCTCTCCTTTCGTCCTGTAGCGAAAGAGTAAGGAGGGTCGATATCTTGCTCATCACGTATTATATCCCACCATATCTCATCCAACCATCCCATCCTATCCTACCCCATCACATCCTACAATATCAATTCATATTCAAAGAAGTTTATTGTAGGTACAGCAAATCACTATATTAGATTACAATAGTGTAGGTAAGTAGGTAGGTAGGTAGGTAGGTAGGTAGGTAGGTAGGTAGTGTAGGTAGGTATTATCATATACATCATATGCACCAAAATCCTCACCTCGCCTATTCCCTCTCATTTTCGGCTCTTCATTCATCCTCTGCTTACATGCTAAATGTTCGCTCGATTCAATGCTCAATTCTCAAATTCTCTCAACTCCAAATTCATCACCCCTATATTTATGATCTCTAAACCATATTGATTTGGCTCCCCGTAAAATAATTCCCTCACTTCTGAAAAGTCGCGCTTCGTCCCCCTCTCTCCCCGTTCTGCACTCTTCTCATTCCCTTCTCCGCATTACTACTCTTCTGATATGGATCGAATGGTTTCTTTTCTTTCTTTCCCTTTCCGCCCTTTCCACCTTTGTCTTTCTTATCCTTTTTGGAATTAAGTACCGAATCCGCTTTACTGTAATCGAAATCCTCTTCCTCTTCTTCTTGTCCTTCCTCTTCATCCGCTTGTTCTGCTTCCGAATTCTCTACGTCTTCTTCTACTTCTTGATTTTCGGATTCTTCTTCCCCTGCTTTAATTCCTTGTGCCGCTGCCTTGAGTTCCTTAGCTGCTTCTTTCTTCTGTTGTTTTCTTAATCGTTTCTCCTCCATTCTTGCAAATTTAGCTCGACGTCTTTCGGCTTCCGCGGACGAAGTATAGTCAAGAGAAATGTCATAATCACCAGCAGCCTTCTGGTCTTCATCAGGATCAGTGATAACCTCGCTCTTTCTTTTCGAGCCTCGCTTCAGGACAAATGGTTCGTCTTTTACCTTACTAGGTGTGGGTGTTGCAACAGGCGTTTGTGCTTCGGGCATGGCCATACGGGATCGATCGGTAAGAGGTGTACTCGTTTCGGCGAAAACTTCTTCCGAGAGTTGGGGCAAGGGGATTGCGAGTCTCATGCTGTCTTGATCCGGAGTTGTGGTTGAAGGTTCCCATATACTACTTCCGAATGCACCTCCCCAGAAAGAGGATGTCTCTGTTGTAAGTTCAGTTTTGTCTACCGGTGTAACGTCAAGTTTAGATAGCTTTTGCGATGCGGATTTTGCTCCAGTGTTGGATTTTGGGGTTGCGGTAGAATCCGGTGATTTTCTGAGGACGTCTATCGATTTTGGACCATCTTTTCCGTTTTCCTTTGCCGCCTTGATAACTTCCAAGAGTTCTCCAGTACGCGATTTTACGCTATGAGATATTGGTCGAATTATACTCAGCAAGGCTATCATATCCATAGGCATGAATTTGGCTAGATTGACAACAACCGAATTGGACATGACGAAATTAATGCTGTCGTCATCCTTTCTTGCTATCTGATCTCTCCAGGCGTGTACAGCTTTGAATACCGAGAATTGCTCACTACTTAATAGAGCAGGCGTTTTGTAAATTAGTGAAAACCATCCTCCTGGCCCTTTCCCAGATTCTGCATTGTATAGCTGTCGCTCATATCGAAGTAACGAAGTCTCTTTAGACTTTTGTAAGACTACATTCATCGAAGATGCTACAGGTTCCTCTGCATCAGGCGTTTCAACATCAGGTGCGTCAAGTAGTTCATTTCGTAGATTGTCAAAAATGTAAAGAAGGAAATGTGTATCAGCTCTAGCGTAAAAGAACATCTCTTCGGGAAGTGGCCTAGAGATTTGTTAGTTTAATGATATAAATCCTCAAAATCTGAGCTTACCTAATTCGCCAATCTGCTAGTTGGTATTTCTTGTCGGCATCGAAATCAATATACTTCTTCAATAAGAAGGCTAAGCTTCCTCCAGCAAATCCCAACCTTCTGCATGCATAATGTGTATCGAACAAGCCGACTACATATAGGCCGAGATCGCGTTGGAGCCATACAATATCCATATAAGCGCCATGGAAAACCTAACTCGTTAGCTAATATTGATAGATTTCAGGAAGTATACAACATACCTTGATTATATTTGGATCGGCAAAAACTTCATTGAGTACTTGAAGCTGTTGTCTCCATGGCTTGAGGGTATCGATAATCCAGTCCTTTTCGCGAGTACTGATCTGCATTAAAGATACGAGACCAACATATGAACGGGTGTCATGATGTTCCAAGTCGACCGCGATTTCCTTAGCGCCTTTGAGCTCCTCCAGCATCTCCAAAACACCCTCGTAGGTATCAACAAATTTCGCAGACGTGCTTTCAACCGGTAGATATTTAATTGGTTCCGCCTTCTCGTACATAGCGCTCGGGTATTGTAGTTGTAAAATTTCCGTTTCATAAGGATGTTTATGCCTGAATTGTTTGTTAGTAAATCTTATAGTGGAACCCATCTCCTAGAGCCTTCTTAATATCTCCCGTTTTGCTTTGGAGCGACCGACCCTGGCTGACTTGCTTAAGTCTTCCAGCTTCCTTCCTTCACGCGGGCAATCCGGGAGTGATGCGAGGGGAATAAAATTAAAGTAGTCATACTGTTTCTGGTCGAAATCGTTTGTAATGATTCCAAGACTTTCCTCTAATGGCACTTTCGCATGCGGTTTCGTCTTAAGAAGAGGTAGCCACGGTGATGTATCCTCATTGTCAGGTTTGACCTCGAATGCTAGTTGTGGCTTCACAAGGTTTTGTGTACGGAGCGAATTGTCGAGGGGTCGTTTCTGGAATTTCATTGTCGCAGAAGTCTGGCAGATGTCAGTATGCAATTTAATGGTTCACGCGATTCAACAATCACCTCTTCCACTTGTTCCCTTTTGATAATTCCCGTATATTCGTCGAGGCAAGTATCTGTTTTTTCGAGTAAGGAATCCACAACGTCCACAACACCGCGCCAATTGTTATCAACGTCGTCGGCATCTTCTAAAATTGGTACCTGAATACCCGAGACGGAAGCTGCAGACTTGAGCAACTGATTGGCAAGTGCGAGCAAGCGCGCATTCTGTTCATCGAGAGCACTTCCCACTTCAGGATTTAATGATCGATGAAAGCCGAGATCTTCTGATGCTATGTAACCGGCAGTTTTGACCGTTGTTACGAGAGCAGCCTGAACTTCATCTTGTAAGGACTTGAAATCCTGCGTATCTTCTGCCATAATTGACAGAATTGATTTGCTGTTGCGTTGAAAAAGATTGAGTTGAATTCTACGATTGGATTTGGTCAAAAAATATTCAAAAGTTCAACTTTCTTACCCTTGTCATTATTTCAAACGGTGGGTGGAACTACCTATACTAGCGTATGTTTCCAAACCTTGTTGCAGGTTGGGTCCTCCGCATTTTTGACAGTTTTCATTTCAGCCGAAATTATAAATTCTTTCACTTATTACTCACGACTTGGCGACTTCACGACTTCACATGACAAAGGATCTCACCCATCGCCACACGAGTTTGGTAGTAATAAAGCACAATCCGAAACCACAACTTACAATCTTACAATCTTACACCAAAATCTTCTCATAATGTCGGCTTCACTTGCACCCGAATGCAATGAAGTCAAGGAGTATGTAATGTCTACCTTATTCTATTCGTTTCTCAACCAGTTTCCGATATGCTGAACATTTTCAAAGACGATATGATTCGTGCTTCTTGAAATGGTATAGCGAAAGTAAGCCAGGTTCGATCTTGGAAGTAGAGACATGAACTAACATGATCATTAGAATACCTTCGAGGCAAAGGTACAACCGATGAGTGTGAATCTTTATTCAAAGATTACCGGAAATGTTTAACGGTAAGTTTGGAAAATCCTTCAGTAGTTCTGAACGATTCCCATTCTAACTAATATAGGGTGCATTGAAAGAGCGTGGTATTGACAAAATGCTTGAGGAAGCACGAGAGGATCATAAGGAACATGACGCCGTAAATTTACGACGGCCTTGTGAGTGATTCGGATTATACTCTGGGGGGAGGGAATGTGATGGCTAATTGTTGAGTAGAATGAAATGCATGCATGATATCAGACTGTACATACAACACTACCACTCATGCATGGGAAAGGCGTTAGGATGGTTTTGCAGGTTACGATTGTATTGTTGTTGGGGAATTTAAAGTATCTCAAATTTATATGATATTGATATTCAAAGAATAGGAACATTTTATACTCGCAAGCAATGCAACAGCATGGCATGGAGTACTTTGATAGCCACCAAAGTTTAGATGGACATTCCGGCTAGGGAACATGACTTATCGAAAGTGCAAGTTCTCTACGTCTATTTATTTCGGCAATATAGTGCAGCATCACTCATATGTATGACATATCGATTGATATAGCTTTCAACATTTTTGTCTTCATCTCCCCTCCATTTCCATTCCTGTCCCATCAAACGTTCACCAATTTTCACACTTCACACTAGCACGTGATCATAATCCTTAGCCTATAAAGCTTAATTTCATCTACCCCTGCAAAAGAACAAATTGCTTTCAGCCTCTCTCTGTTCGTTTCTCCAGATAAGTTTAAATTCCTGTATCGGGATTGGTTTATATGAAGGAAGATCCAGAAAAAAAGAATCCCACCCAAAATCTGGACCCTGACTTTATTATACAAATATGTGGGATTCGAGAACCTCATACTTGTGAAAACACCTTTATTATATATTCTCATCCTACCTACTACCTACATCGTCTATTCTCTTTTATCCCTCACCCCTCCCACCATCAACTCTTCCGCCGAGTACCGTTATCTGCAGAAGCCAGTAAACTCGTCTCGAACTCTCTACAGCAAAATATACAGTGATGCGCCAGCAATAGGAAACAATTCATGCACCCCTTCTCTATTCTCACACTTGCGATTTTCGTAGCCGGCTACATCACTGCGAGGTGGGATCTGGTTACAAGACTTTATGAGCTTGCAATATTCGCATGGGATCACGGAGTAGTGGTTAGCTTTGATTTCCCCTGAATGAAGTCAATACATATCACTAATAACACATTGGCGCATAGGCACGAACTTTGAAAGGATTCGCGATTCTTTCCCTCTTCTTCTTTTTATTCATCATACCAGTGGAAAGGCTCGCGTCGAGGGAGACGACACTAGTAAAGAAGCATTACATCTACAATCACAAGCCTAGCTAATAATCCAATAGCATCCGCGATCTGGCAGCGTCGGCATATCTGCACGAGAACAATTGCGACGTCGGGGTTCTTTTTGAAGGAAGAGAGTTTATGATAATTGAGTATTTGTCATGCCCGATCATGATGGATTGATGAGGATTTTCTGGCCGAGGGATATTCCAAGAAGCGATTCACCTGGAGTAATAGTTGGCTGGAGGAATTCTGGCCTGGACATTTTTGTGGTTGCGATATTGGAGGATGTTGACGTGAGCAGCGATAAGGCTATATGAAATTGGATCCGACTGACGTAATTGCAGGCGCGCAATGTAGAGAATGCATTGAAGGTCGGAACTCTGTTCCGAAATGCCAGTCATCCTATCGAGCGAATCTATGAGTTATGCGGGCAGTCTTCACTACAGGTATTGGGCTTGACAAATTCACCAAAGGCAGATGTCGATACTCTTCAAATCCGCGCAACGACAGGTTCGGCATACAAATTACCTCAGATATCTTGTGCTCGAGCATCAACGAATCAAATAGTCGTGTTTGATCGACCTCAGCCCAATAGGATGCAATACATATCTCTAAAGCCTATATCATTGGCATTGGATGACAAGGCTGAAATGACATTTCATGCACCAGGCAGTGTTGATGCGGAGGAAGAACGAGAAGAATTGAGACAGAGGAAAAGGACTCAGGAACTAGTCGAAAAGTTGAAGTACCACTCCGTCGTTAAACACCCGCCGTCACAGAAAGAACTCGCCTTGCCAAGAATTGTCAATCAAATCAATTGTGCTTGGGAGGTCCATCAATTATTACAGAAAAACATTTCGCTAGTTGGAGCTCGGTCAAGGAGAAGTCTGAGCGTGTCGGAAAGGGTAGTGGAGTCAGCAACCACGATGCGTGATTTCGTTCTTTTGACAATATGGCAACTCATCACTCTCTACATATATCCTATCATTAGACGTGGATTTGTTGTTGGTCTCGTTTGTCATAGATTTGCTGCTGAAGCTTTACTATTGATTCTAGAGTGGAGAGCTAAGCCAGATTATGCAGCCTTGAAAGATATCTCCGCAACTGCACAGCAAGTGGAGATACGCTTACAACAATTCTGCTATTGGCCTATGCAATATGTCACACTTCGAAGAAGTAAAAGAGACTGGGGTAGTGTGACAACAAGTCATCCGGACTACATAAGGTTTTATAATAGCCTTTGGCTAGTTGCTAATGATGTGATCATTGGAATTGCATTGGGGTCTTATATAATTGACAATTCCGCCTGGGTAGCAGAGACTATCAGTGATATCCTAAGCACCTATTCTATAGCTGCTCTACAAAGGACGATAAATTGGCTGATGGATTGGCCAGCTGGCTTGAAACTCAATACCGAATTGGCAGCTTTCCTTGGGGATCTGTTCTTATGGGTCATCGAACATTGGTCAAGTATGTTTATCGTCCTCTCCAACAAAATATTCATCAACTAACTTCCACAGGCTGTATTGAAGCTTTGCATCCAGTATTGCCTCATGTTATATGGGTTGTTGGTTTTTCCAGTTTCGCTGGAGCCAGCATGCCAATCGCCCTTTTCTCTGATCTACTTACAATCTTGACACTTCATATCTACTCATTCTACATGGCTTCTGCACGTATATTCAATTGGCAGTATACCATCCTCCTCTCTTTATTTCAACTGTTTCGGGGCAAGAAGCACAACGTTCTTCGAAAACGTATCGATTCTTGCGATTATGATCTCGATCAACTATTGCTAGGCACGATCTTATTCACACTACTTTTCTTTCTCTTGCCCACAGTAGTTGTATTCTACTTGGCATTTGCATGTGCACGAATGGCAATCATCTCATTAAAAGCTATTTTAGATGCTTTACTTGCATGCTTGAACCATTTCCCCCTTTTTGCATTGATGTTACGACTTAAAGATTCGCAACGATTGCCGGGTATGTTCTCACATAAATTTTCCAGACTACATCACACTAACGTACAAAGGTGGCATACGATTTGAACTTCGAGATACCCAACAACTAGCAAGCCAAATACCTAATACTCCATCTCCTCCACCGACATCCTACATATATCTTAAAGTATGATGGTTCTCTTTCTACTAATTTGTTTCACATTACTAACAGAAATCTACAGTCCGTCCCGCTCACCTTCCGCGCCATGTTCCACCAATATTTTCAACTCGGTCATCGCATCCGTAAACATTACGCTTCACCTCGTGTTCTTCTCTGTCTTGCAACCGGCAAATTCGTTCCGCCTATCCATCGCAAAAATCTTTATTCGCTTCAATACAGCATGTTACCAGCTCGTCGAGCGGGTATTATGGATATGTGGTATGCATTGACGACTAATTCTGATGAGGGAAAGGATAAGCGGAGAGGCAGTGCTGGGTGGTTAAATGGTGGTCTGGCTAGTTTGGCCAAGGGAAATGGAAATTCGAGGAGAGGGAATGGGTATATGGCTAGAAGGGGTGGACATTAGAGATTATGTGGAATGGGTATATGGCTAGAGGGGGTGGACATTAGAGATTATGTGGAATGGGTATATGGCTAGAAGGGGTGGACATTAGAGATTATGTGGAATGGGTATATGGCTAGAGGGGGTGGACATTAGAGATTATGTGGAATGGGTATATAGCTAGAAGGGGTGAACATTAGAGATTATGTAGAATGGATATGGATATGGATGTGGATGAGTGATTGATGGGTTCTTTTGTATATATGATTGGTTTTTCATGGGCCAAATGAGTTGGGATGAATAAAAAGGAGCGTTGGAGGGGTTGGAGGTGATAGGTTTTGTATGTACTGTATGTAGATACGGATTACTTAATGATAATATTTCCAGAATCGTCGGTTTTTATTTCACATTTTCACAATCGAAATAAGTAAATGGGGTTGTAAATGTTTGTGTGAAACATATTATAATTTTCTTTTATTCTTTGAATTTCGTGGCATTCATCAATTATTGACTGACTCCCATATTATCATATCACTTTCTGCTGTTTTCTTTTGACCCTTCATGTCCTGTCCTGTCCAGTCCTGTCCTGTCAACCTTTTTCCAGCTCCGGATCCACCCACAACTTATAATACAAATTTCTCTCTCCCTCTACATCTTCCCCTTCACCTCACTCGCCTTTCCCTTCGCCTCCCCCTTCAACTCCGCCGCCTTCCCCTTCGCCTGTCCCGCTAACTCCGAAGCTTTCCCAGAAATCTCCGACGCGGTGCCAGATGCGGAACCGCGTGCAGAGGAGGTGGCACCTTGAGCTTCGGAGGCGGCGTTGGACGCGGCGGTTTTGGCTTCGGAGGCGGAGAGACCGGCTGCTGCTTTGGCTTTTTGGGCTGCGGTTTCTATTTTTTGGGGGGAGGGGTTAGTTTGAGTTTGTGATGGTGGGTTTGAGGGGGTGGGGATGGGGATCAGGGAAAAGAGGGAGGATAGGAAAGGGATGAGGATAAAGGAAACAGAGAAAGAGAAAGAGGGGATACATACGACCAACTTCGATACCATCTACGATCTTGCTCGCAACGGCTTTATCCACTTGATGGACTGTTTCTTTGACGGTTTGGGTAGCGGATTTGTGGGCGATGAAGGTGGAGGAGAAGGGACGGCTGGCTTGGGTGAAGCGATGGGATTGGCGGGTGAGGGTGCGGGAGAGGGATTGCATTTTGATGGGATGGGAGGTGTTTAGTTTTGTTGGTTGAGTTTGATGGGTTTGGTTTGTTTGATGTGTGAGTGAGTGTATTGCAATTGAGAATTCGTAGATGATTTATTTATTTATTTATTTGGCTGTAGAGAAAAAGAATCAATGTAAGTAGGTAGGTACACGAGGTCAGAAAATCAATATATAAATACCATACTCCAAGCAAGCAAGCTACCAGAAAGGTAGGAAGCAGCTTCCTTCCGTCACAATGACGTCACATTTGTTCCACTACATCGTGTATGGTTAGAGCTCTACTGGTAGCTGCGTGAAGACTGAATTACCCCTCTTTTTCATCGATGTCGAGAGGGGCTAGGTAGAGACTAGATACCTAAGTGCTATTACCTCATTCTTGGTCCGAGTCTAGATTTGGGATTTGCGGTCGGGTGTGATGTGAGTGGAATTTGTGGAATTTGTGTGTACCCAGGTATTTAGTACAGAGTATATAGATGTGATAGAAAAACATATACAAGTACCTATTAGGTAGGTAGGTAAATATCATTTCAAAATCTATAAATACATATATCTAGTATCCACCTCCAAGTAAGTAAACAAATACATCGTACAGTGCAGTGTCCGGAGAGTGTCTAGGTAAGTAAGTTATGATACCTACCATCTACCTACCCAGTATCCAAAAATCGTTCAATTATTTATCCATGGGAATTGGATAGATCATACTCTATACATATAGAATGCGCTTTCCAGAAAGAGAGTGGGTACTTCTGTTCGTAAGAAAGAGAGACAGAAAGAGGATAGTTTCCATTCTACTCCGTGTGCGCTCGCCAGCTGAAAATTGCGTACAAGGAATTGTGGTAAATTATTTATTGTATTTCGGAAGATATAAATCATAATAAGTTAAGTGTAACATAAAAACATCGTAAACAAATTCCCATCTATAACACCAAACACCTCTTCAGTTTCCATGCCTATTTAAAATCCATCCCATGCACTCCGCCCATCTCCCTCCTACTTTCACCAAAAGAACCCCTCTTCTCCCCAAAAAATAAAAAGAATGAACAGAGGGGGATTCGAACCCCCGCGGGCTAAGCCCATGAGAATGCTAATTGATTTTCTATCAACTAAGCTAGGAGCTTGAGTCACACGCCATAACCACTCGGCCATCTGTCCGATGAAATCATTATTCATGATTCGTTGAGGGTGGGGAAATTATTTCTGTATATATTATTATCATTAATACGTGTAAGATAGTGGAGAGAAAATGAAAATGAGAGGATATTTGGGGCTCTGTGGTGTGCTGTGGTGGGGAAAGGAGTGTGATTGAATGGACGATATGATGTACTGTTGTGATGTGGTGCATGAAATGGTTGATACGAGACTAGTCGATCAGTATTTTCAAGTGATAAAATTAGAAATCCAGAGGTTTTTAAATTTTGTAGTCTTGGACTTATTCTATTTTATGTATATACCGTAAAATGTAAATGTACAAATAGAATCTGGTGAATACCAATAACTGATAAATGGATACCCCAGTATCGAAATCCAGATTGTAAGATAAAATACTCCCCCTAATGCAAAATGCTGGTGATATACCCCCAAGAAGCATGTGTACACATGATTTGAACCCCAGACGCCCAACTTATTCCATATAAAGACACAACCATCTTTCCCTCTCAGTGCCCCATTCGCCCTCGTCATCTCAACCCAAAACCATAAATCCCACACCTCCGATAACACCGGTTATTATAAGCGCCGTTAAGACTCCTGCTCCGGCTCTATCTCCACTGGTAATTGGTGTTTCGACTATTCCATCAGTAGTGGTACTACTTCCACTTCCACCTGCTGCATTTCCTACACTTGTTCCGCCCATATTATTGGTAACGAGATCGGCTGCTTGCCCAATAAGTGTTGCTTGAATGACACTTAAAGCGCTCATCTGTTCTCCGACTCCATATTTTCCATCGTACGTACTTCCTGCAGTCCAATGTTCTCCACATGCCCTTCCGCTAGTTCCTCCATCGCATTGTTCTGCTGCGGCTTTAGCAGATGCGTTAATGTAAGTCATGATTGTTGGTTCGGTAAATGGAGCGAGTTTAGTTGTTCCCGCCATCCACCGAGAAAGGTGGGCTTTGAATGATTGTTCATCGGTGTCGCAACCGACTGTGGTAGTTTCGCATGCTGCTTCATACATAACATTATCTTTGAAGAATACACTACTAGCATTCAAGAGTCCTGCTGTTCGAGTTTCCCAAATGGATGATCCGTTGGTCTGTGAGGCATGTGTTAGTAGAACTATATGGCTTGTTTGAAGGTAGTTAGAGGAAAATGGGGAACGAACGTAGTTGTACATCATGGCGGCCCCAAAAAGATAGATACCAGCGTTATATGTCCATTGGATATGATCGAGAGAGCTGCAATTCGTTGTATCGGATGTACCATCATATACCTCATAAGCATCACCGATCAATCCAACGGATTGTTCCCACGTGAATACCTTTTCGGCCCAATCGGCATATGATGAATTCCCGGTATACCTTGCCAACCTAGCTCCTAAGTTGAAGAAACAACCATTCGCAATACTATTCTTATAGTCGTATCCGGAGTTGAATGTAAAGATTTGCCATCTCAAACCACCTCCACAAGTTGAATCATCCCATCGTGATGCCATATCGTTGAAAACTGCTTGCGCCATCGCTAACCAACCAGGTGTTCCAGCGTCTGGATTGTCGAAATTAGCCTCTGCAGCTGTCATAGCAGCCATTCCCCAAAATCCCTGATCATCATTTCCTTCTGTCTTAGTCTGATTGGTAGGCATGAAATCGTAATCGTCGCCAGCTTGATGTAGGAGAGCTTCTTTTACTTCGGCGTTGTAGGTAGTATCTCCAGTATAATACCAATAGTCGACCATGATACCAAACATAGCTCCTGCCTCCCACCAATAATAGGGGTCAGGTAAGTTACCAGCGACATCTCCGGTATTATTTCCTGTATAGTACTTCATCATATCGTAGGCGACATCGGATGCGGCAGTTTTGATGCTTGCTGGTCATGGTTATTCAATCAGTACATTGCTCTTCTCTCAACAGGAAGCAACATAGAATGACAACATACCATCAGAGCTCAAATCAAGAGTAATTGCACTAACCAAACTACTACATGTTGAGCAAATAGCAGCAGTATATGCCAAGACTTTTCCTCCACTGACCCTCATCTTGCTCCTCATCCGTGATTCAAGCTAGAGTAGAGATACTGTATATAACGCTTCTTCACCAATCACAATACTAAAACGGGGTTTCCGATCAATTCAGGATTTGCAAACGACGCGGCCAAACGAGAGTATAAGATAAAATATGCCGGATCGCTGATGTTTAAGAAGAAAGAGCGTGCTATCCTACCATCAAGTCAAAAAGAAACGAAGACTATTCTCCAGGACTTCAAAGAGAAGAGAGACATACTTCCTCCTACACTTACCTCTAGTTCCATAATAACAAAACTTCTGGTCCACTGTTCTGTTTTTGACATACGGCCCACGGCAAGTCTTCTCTGGTTTCTTCCTTTTAATAGACCTTGCGCGTCAGCCACATCCCAGTGGGTTTCGAAACACTATTTTCAGATTCCTGTAGATCCACCAGCGGTTTTCCCGTGGGTGAGATACTAAAGACTGAGAAAGATTTGGAAACCTATGGGCTGAAAGAGTAATGCCTGGTTCATAACAAAATGAATAATGGATACGCGTTGGCTTACGCGGTGGGTATGTCATCCTTGTTTGGTTCACGTTTGATTGATTCCCTGGTGGCCCTCATCTCCTAGAGACATCCAAAGTTTCCTGACATCTCTCTGTCGTGAATGGAGGATCAAATCTTTCAAACGTGCCACTTTTGATCTTGATACAAAACGATCAAAAAGCAATACGGAACGATGATAGAAGCCAAGCCATAATTGTCTTGGATTGCGATGCTTATTAGTATGGTCCCCGTCAAGAGAGGAATCCTCCGTTTTTCTTGATGAAGCTTGAAAAAAGCTTGTCTCTACCAAGTACCGACAAGTAGCCGTTAATGGCGGAGATTGGCGGCAAGGATCATTTCCTACGAGATTGTGTGGCTAATCACGTGAAAGCCAACGAAAAGGGGTTGGAGTTGTTGTTACTAGTTCATGTTTGGTCGTGTTCTACTCCTCTCACATAAGATGAAGTATTTATCTTGAACTTTGAACTTTGAACTTTGAACTTACGATGCACACCCAGAACAAACGTTGAATCTTCAAAATCACCTTGATGATTTTATTTTGGTGATCTTCCCATGACCCACAACATGCAACTGCTCATGTGACCAGGCATTGTCTTCAGTTGGATTCGATGATCATTTGATAACCAAAGTTCCATGCAATGATACTTCGACAATGTCAGATTCTTTGATGAAATACGTGGTGATTTCGCATACGGTGATAACATCGCCAATAGTCAGGTGCTCATGACAAGATGTAGGAAGATTTGTAATACGATGTTGCCAATGCTTGGTAGGACAGAATGTCAATAACATACAAGAATGTGGTCTTTCTTCAATGGATAGAGCAAAGTTGCTCTTTGGTCAACTGTCCCGATCAATCAATCACCTGACAAACATTTCTGTGTCCACAGATGTTGGGTGTGTACACTTTGTAGTTACAATTATGGTTGTGGAAGCTACGATGGCGCAATCATGCAAAGCCAAGATAAGTACCTTGCTGGTTAAATGGACAAACCGTAAACAAAGTCCATGGAATTATGATTCACAATATTTTTGGGACGTTCAAACTCAAGAACCTTGTTGGGTTCAATATCACCAAGGTACTTATTATATCTTTACCAAGTGTGTAGATTTATCTTTACTGCTCCCACTGTACTTTCTTTGGTTTATGATCTCTCAAACACACAGCACATTTCAGTAGCAAACTCAACTTCCTCTATAACTCCCAAATCAGCAATCATGAAAGTTGTTGGCCCGCAAACGAAAAGAGAAACAGATGTTGGC